CGTGCTTGGCAGACGATCGAAGGTTTTTGACTGACCCAATAAATTTGTTTTGTTTTTTTTTTTGCGCTTTGTTTTGCCCTTCACATAGCTAAAGAAAGTTTTCGCCTCTCTCGATTTCAGATTGGGTCTAATTCGTGCCCGTTTGGCCGGAGCTCGAATCGCCACTGGGGATGTGCTCATCTTCCTGGACGCCCATTGCGAGGGCAACATTGGCTGGTGCGAGCCACTGCTGCAGAGGATCAAGGAGTCCCGGACGAGCGTCCTGGTGCCCATTATCGATGTCATCGACGCCAACGACTTCCAGTACAGCACCAATGGCTACAAGTCTTTCCAGGTGGGCGGTTTCCAGTGGAACGGTCACTTCGATTGGATCAACTTGCCGGAGCGGGAGAAGCAGCGTCAGAGGCGGGAGTGCCGGCAGGAGCGGGAGATCTGTCCAGCTTATAGCCCCACCATGGCCGGCGGACTGTTTGCCATGGATCGGAGGTACTTCTGGGAGGTGGGCAGCTATGACGAGCAGATGGACGGCTGGGGTGGCGAGAACTTGGAGATGTCCTTCCGTATCTGGCAGTGCGGCGGCACCATCGAGACGATTCCCTGCTCCCGCGTGGGACACATATTCCGGGACTTCCATCCGTACAAGTAAGGCATACATATCATTTATATTTTAAATATCATGGATACATTTTATATTGAGCGATTCTAAAATCTGAAACATACTTCTGATCAAAAAGTCTTATTTTTATGTTAAATAAATACATATAGACTCTGACTATCTCTACTAATTAACATTTCAAATATAAACCACAACTTTTGAACAATTTTGTAAGTGGAAAATTCAATTAATTGTAAATTACACTATTTGTTAAGAGCGGTTACAGTTGCCAATTATTTAAATCTAGGTTTTAATTTGAGGAATTTAACAACCTAGACCCTATAAAAATGGTTTATTTAAAATTTGTTATGCTATTCGCTTACTGTATGTAAAATAATTCTTAAAATATAAACAGCTGCAAAGTCAGGTTTTTAAACTTTCTGTAAAAATATTCGACATGGTACTTTATTATCCGGTAATAATCTAATGTAATCTTTGACAGTATGGCTGTATTATAATAATCTCATTTAAATTCTTTTTAGATTCCCCAACGATCGCGATACACACGGCATTAACACTGCCCGCATGGCTCTGGTTTGGATGGACGAGTACATCAACATCTTCTTCCTCAACCGACCGGACCTGAAGTTCCACGCCGACATCGGCGACGTGACCCACCGAGTGATGCTGCGCAAGAAGCTGCGCTGCAAGAGCTTCGAGTGGTACCTGAAGAACATCTATCCGGAGAAGTTCGTGCCTACTTTGGACGTGCAGGGCTGGGGCAAGGTGCACGCCGTGAACTCGAACATCTGCCTGGACGATCTGCTGCAGAACAACGAGAAGCCCTACAACGCTGGCCTGTATCCGTGTGGAAAGGTGCTGCAAAAGTCGCAGCTGTTCTCCTTCACCAACACGCAGGTGCTGCGCAACGAGCTGAGCTGTGCAACGGTGCAGCACAGCGAGTCCCCACCGTACCGGGTGGTCATGGTGCCCTGCATGGAGAACGACGAGTTCAACGAGCAGTGGCGCTACGAGCAGCAGCACATCATCCACAGCAACACGGGCCTGTGCCTGGACCACAAGGGACTCAAAAGCCTGGACGATGCACAGGTGGCGCCCTGCGATCCCCACAGCGAATCCCAGCGATGGATCATCGAGCACTGAGCAGATTAGGGGAACGGGAAACCGGGGATGGGGACCAAACCAACTGAGAGATACTGACTAACGCCGACTGAACGGAACTCGAATTCAAGTTAGAACAACCCTTTGTAAATACATAAATCGAATGCTAGAGTTATATATTTTGTGTACACCAATCGTGTATGATAGGAAGAGACGACGGGGTAGCTAGTGCAAATCAAATCGAATGGAATCAAATCAAAAGAAAAGAAAGCAACAGGAAACAGACCCAGCAAAACAAACAAACAAACAAACGCAAACGAGTCATTTGGAAAGCTAATAACAATTAACTGTGTGTGTTGTGTACTTTGTGTGTATAAATATAAATATAAATAGAGCAAGATCTAGGGATAGAATGTCGGAGCATCCTAAGTAAATGATATAGTCGCCATGTGATCGGGTGTGGAACGATTGCATTCCATGGCCAGGGATTCAACAAGGAGCAGCTCTCTCCTGAGCGAGAGCCTCCAGCAATAACCAACTATGTAAACTGTAAACTAAAAGTGTTGTAAGCATTTATCTACTAACATAACTATTTTGCCATTTGTTTTCATGAATAAAACACTTCCGACTGGAAGATGCACATCTTCAAGCCAACCGGTAGCCTCATTTATCAAAGACCTAAGGTCCAAAAGGTGGTGGGCCATCAAAACGCAACCAGTTGGTGGCAGCCAAGGTCGAGTTCAGGGTCAACATCGCTGTAACACTTGTTAACCCAGCAGCAACAGGTCCACATTCAGCCCCCAGCTGTTAAATTAAAGCCAACTCCATTGAAAAACAACACCCATTGCATGTTTGTATATTTGTATTTATAGATATAAGTACATATTTCATATTCTCTTTTGTTTTTTGTTCGGTTGAAGTTTTTATTTTAAATTGCTGATTACGCGTGTATTTTTTTGTTAATTTCTCTGGCGTGTTTGCATTAAAATACTTAAATTGGAGTAAAACAATTGTAAATTACTAAAATTATCTTTATGGTTTCCGCTGCTGACACCTATTTTTTTGTAGCTATTCTATTCGGATTCTGCAACTACAAGTGGGGAGTGAACTCAACTGGATTATCCGTACTTACAAAACGAACGAAACGAACCCAATTTGATCAACAATGGTCTAGCTTCGTGCGTCTGTCTGTGTATTGTGATAAAGCAGATCTAGAATATGGTTTAGTTTATTCATTAACTCGTGACTGAACTTCTTGGATAGTTTATTTAACCGCTGATGGAGTCTCGCTATAATTCTGGTGTAGTAATAACATTTATTCGTTGACCGTGCTAAAAGCTCTAAGAGTGCGCAAACTTACGAGTAGACTGTTTCGAAGGCTGTCTTCCTGTCTTTCTATCTTCCGATCCTATATCCATATAATATGTGTGTGCCTAGCATTCCGTTACGCTAGAGACTATATGCAATGGCAAACTATTATTTATTTGCGGGGCTGATTGCGTGAGAACTGCACTAGATTGCACAAAAATATGATTAATTCTTTAATAACGTCAAGGTACTATTCAATTTGTCGGCGTTCCAATCGCGATCTCTACTTCTACTTAATTTTCCTTTGCAATGCACTCTGTCTATCTGTTACTGGCTACAACTATGGATTCTCGATCTATTTTACAATTAAGCCGTGCTGCTAACTTTCAGTTTCTATATCGGGGATCGTTACTCAATCAACCTTTAGTTGAACGTTATTTGCGCTAGTTAAATGCGTTAATTTGAGGGTGATTTTGCCGGTAATAATGCCCCACTATATGTACATTTATGTGATTAAATTAATTCTGAATTATAATGCTCAACCGATTTGAACTGCGGCGTCTACAAATTGCACACACATACTCAAACAAATACTCCCTGGTTTGGATTTATTATCTGGATCTGGGATTCCCCCAGGGAGCACTCAATATTTAAATCTTTTTCAGTTAGGATTATCATTGGTAAATATGCAATTTATATTTATATTCATGAATATCCATGTAAGTATATATCGTAGTTGTATCTTGACCTTGAATTTTAAATTTTGGACGTATTTTCAAGTATATTTTGGTAGTTGCTTTTCGCTTTACGCAAGTAGAAAAACAGTTCGAAAATATATACCTAATATATATATAAGTGGTGTATATTTATGCTTGTATACACTGGATGAATGGCTGTAGATCTTCCAGTTGGGCCTTTGACCTTAGACGCGCCCCAACTGCCTTCTGTTGGATTTTAGTTTCAGTTTCGTTTTGGGTTTCTAAGTGTAAATCGCTCTTATTGTTTGTTTTTAAATTGCAATTTATCTCAGACTCAGTTTTGGAGTGCTTTGGATGTTGGTTGGTTGGATGGATGGATGGACACGTTTACGGTTTTACGTACAAACGTTCGTTAGCTCACATATTCATGCTATTATTTCCTGCGGCCACTCTTTATCCTTTTCGTGTACGATTATTAAAGTATCTTAACATAAAATTGAATATTCAATGCAATTATTGCTTTCTTGCTTTTTTTCTTTGGACTAACACCAGCTTCTGGCTCGGTGTTCAGTTAATGTTACTTAAAACGGCTCACAAACATAGTGGCACAACCTTCAACATTGATAAATACAACTTAAAGATCCTAACACTTATATTGCACTTTCCGGACGGGTTAAGGAAATAAAGGAAATCATAAGTAATGAGGTACATATACGATAAAATCAATTTTATTTATATATACGCATATATAAAGGGAAATTATAAATACATCACATCAAAATAATACAATTTACACATCAACTGCGCCGGTGCGAAGCGTCTTGATCGGGGAGTAAGTGGCTTCAATTGCTTGGACGCAGCCCTATAGAATATGCTGCTCTCATTATTACTAACATTGTATTGTATTGGTAATTGTATATAAATGCGCTAAACAGAATATGAGCTCAGGAAAGGAAACATGGAGACGAAATTATTGCAAGACCTTAATTATAAATATATACAAAAGATTTTCATATATTGAATATAGTCAATAACAATTAAAAATATAAGCTCATCGTTAACCAAGTCACATTGATATCAAAAACAATTGAACTAAACTAAAGGCAAAGAACCATTACGAAAATATGTATCAGAGTAAAGCGCTTCATTCAAAAATCGAAAAGCAATAAACGACAATTAACTACACGAACACAAAACAATGGAATCAAAAGTGCTCATTTCACACATACATTAATCGAAGGGTTTGCTAAATTTTACGATCTCGCCCAAGGGTTCGAGGTATTGCAACTACGCGAATGCCCGCCTGGCTTAGTTTAGTTTTCGATTCGTTTCGTTTCGTATAGTTTAGTTTAGCTAGATTAGTAATTAGTTCTGCTGTAGACACCGCCTTAAACTACTTAGAGAAGCGTGGGGTTAAGTGTACGGCATTTCATTTGCGGCATGGTGTGAGAATAGTTAAGTAAGCTAGAATATGGTTGGCATGTGGATTATGCTCCGCATTGTTCGTTGCTTGACGACATTGTCATCCTGGGCGGCGACCTTAGAAGGCCGTCGAGCGTCGATTGGCATAGCACTTCTTGCCATGACTGTTCGCATCTGCAGCGCCGCTGGTTGCACGCAATCTGTGGCAGGTCGCCGGCGTGCTGGCAGCAGCACCACTGGTGGCCACCGTCGACTGCCTGCAATTAGTCCAACGCTGCAGCTGATGCGAACACTTGGGGTACAATCATTTGCGCGCCGACAGGTTTAGCGAATCGCCGCGGCTCTTGGAGCGTGTCATCGAGCCGGTCATCGAGGTGCTCATCTCTGCCGGACAAACGAAATATAAATCAGTAAGCAAATGATAGGCAATGCCAGTCGCCACTCACCTTTGCTGATGCTGTTGCTCTTCTCGGCGGCCTTGTAGGCTCGCATCGCCTTGCCGCGCTTGTCCAGCATCAGCTTGTCGGAGCGCACGAACATGCCGTGCTTGGGCTTGCACTGGAAATACTGAATGCCCTTCACGGTGCCGTCGTTCTTGCCCGTCGGAGTGTCCAATTCCACGCCTATCCAGGCGCCGGGCTGGAACTCTGTGGTGCCCACGAAGCGGATGACGCCGCTGGTATTGTAGGGTCGGATCAACACCGACTCGCCGACCACAATCCAATCGGGCAGAATAACTTCCACATCCTTGCTCTCATCTAAAAGAGTTTTGGGTAGGGGAAATTAGCAATATTATAAATAAATATCTTAAGATTAATAATCACCTTCAACTTCTGTGCTGCTCGACATGATGCTGGAGTCCATGTAGGCGGCCAAACCCTCCATCTTAGCCACCGATGCTCGATGATTGATGCGCGGTGCCTGACTTGTGCTGTTATTGTTGTTATTATTGCTGTTGCCATTAATCGGAGGTGGCTGGGTGTTGGACTTCTTGCGCCGCACCACCTTTCCAGCGGGCAACTCCTCCCGCACAATGCCATCGCCTTCGAGCAGCTCCTCGGAACTGTGGCTCACCTCGTCGGAGGAGGAGGACCTGTTGCCGTTTTGATTGTCTGTGGCAAGCTCTGTTTGTGATTCGGTTGGCAGCTCAGCTTCCTCTTGCTGCTTCGTCGGCTCCTCGACCGCCTCCACATTGTTGTTGTTATTCTTTGGCAGCTGTTCGCGCTCATCCTCGTCGCTTTGTGCGTTCTCCCGGGACTCCAGCTGCTCCAACGGATGCGTAAAGGTTTCCTGCAGCTTCTTGGCCTGCGGCTCCGTTTGCGGTTCCTGTGCTTTGGCTTTGGGCATGTCCTTGAGGAAGGGATTGACTCGTGCCTGCCGATTCGGAGGCGAATTCGAGTTGACTCGATCAAAGTCTGAGGGGTAAACAACTATTAGCTTAGGGAATATAAACATTACAAAGTAATATCCCACCTGGCGTCTCATCAATGCTCATGGAACGCATTGAAGCAATATCCTCGTTGCTCAGATTATTGCAGGAGACAGCCTGCGAGCCGTAGCCACTGCTGGTGGAGGAGCTCATGCTCAAAGTGGCCAGGCCCGTCAGATGCTTCATGTTCGCATTGGCACTGGACGTGTAGCTCAAGTAGCTCTGGTTCGAATGGCTGCTGACGTCCATGAAGGAGTCCATGGTCTTGGAAGCCGTGAGGCGGGAGCGCGTGGCCAGGCTCTTGTTCTGCTGCCGCTCCTGTTCGTACTCGGCGGCGTACTCCGAGTCGCTGTAGCTGTCCTCCGGCTCCTCGTCCAGTGACTTGTGTCCACCCAGCGGCTCCTCGTGCAGCGTAGTCATGCGCATGCCCAGCAGTTTACTGGTGGCCGGCGAAGCTGTAGGAATATCAGAGTGTCAATGTCATTATATAGATTCCTCGAAGATATAACTCTAGGCTTAGAGGTAGACAAACCACATACGTTTCGTTGGCGCAATTCTCAATGTGTTCAGATTCAAATTGAGATTCAAAAATGTTGGACGCGCTGCATTCCACATTTGGGGGGCGGGGAAAATAGTGATTATGAGTTATGTTAAGTTACAATGCAATTTACAGACTTGGATGAGTGATCAAACTAGCCGGGTTAGCGACTAGCTCGCAGGCCCGGCAACACACTATATATTAACAAACAAATGGATAACGAAAAAAGAGGTCTAGTCTGAGCTCTAGGATAATCAATCTCTACGAATACGCGGCTCGTGCTAAGATCTCGTGCTGTGTGCTTGGCTGCTGTGTGAATTGTGCACCGGATTGGAATGGAGTGGATGGAATGTCCAAGTGATGAATGTACAACTGATTTCCATCGCGATTTCTCGAATTTGGCTTGGATGATAGAGAGTCTTGGGTGTGATTTGAAGACAGATTTACCAGCAAACAGAACTAACACAAAACTACATGTAAACACTTCTAAATGGGGCACAAACCAATCCCTTTCTTCCGGAGGAGGGTAATGGATTTATGACTGTAGATGAGTGGGTGTAGAGATGGCGGGTTGTGAGAGAGACAGACAAACTTAAACTCAACTAACAATCAATGCACGGCAGTCAAGAATGCACTTTCGGATTTGATTTGGGCATAAGTTTGGCCTTTACCTGACAGCAGAGATATCGAGCCTGTTGGCCGTGGAATTTCGTTTAGATTACGTTTACGTTATGTTGAAAACACAGAAAAGAGTTGGACAATGTGAGAAACCATATAGTAAGTACGGTATGGTATGGTTCATGTGTTTTTCGTGGATGCATGTCAATTTATATGATAAGCAATGAGGAATGTGGATTTTAAACTGAAACTGAAACAGTCGTGTGCATCAAGACGAAGAATCGCTCGAGTCTTCAGATCGAGTTAATGCAGTTGCTCTGGCTAATTGCTTGGTTGCTGCAGGTGTTGCATCGAAGCAAAGCAAACAAATTAGGTTTGGAAAGTTTAACTAAGCAATGCGACAGTTCACAGAGTTGGAAACTATTGCCTTGGGTGGTTGCTCTCGAGCATGAAGAAAGCGTAAGTTAACGAAAAGTTCGTAAGGGATTTATCTTGTTGTTCATTTTAAATCAATCACTACAAGTAACATTTCTACGATTTTGATGGATTCTATAGGAGATCCATAACTTGAAACAAAGATAAATCCCTTGATCTTGAGCTTGGCTCCAACTAGGTTGAATAACAGGTTTCCTGCGCATAAGCATATGCAGAATTACTTAAATATATAGTATATAGTGTATTGAAAAACTCGATTATATGGATTATAGTTTCGATATTTTTGCTCAAATATTAATGGTGAGTATATAGAAGAAAACTGTTGGGTTCACGGAATCGCTATGACCAACTGTGTACCCACCGATGCCAAAGGCTTTTCCGGGAGAGTCATCGCTGCTTCCCTTGCCGCCGAAGCTGTGGCGATTCCGGATGACTCCGCCTGCTCCTGCTGGACTGTGACCTGCTAAAGGAAAGCAAGGGATTAGAAAAAAATCAGAGATTAAGATCTCAAAGTATAGCTCACCTGGCGTAAATTTGCTGCCCAACGCACTGTTATTGAGATCGGCAAAGGACTCGGAGCGTCCGACATTCAGCAGCGACTCCATCGATGCATCGAAGCGCATAATCTGCGTAAGTTTATTTATGAGTTGCTTGCATCATAAATTTCGTACGAACGTATTTTTTTATAAGGAACAAATGTTATTCAACAGGATGAAATAAAAATGGTCGAATTAAAAACGAAAAATAAATGAACATAAAAATTAAAGCAAAATCCAAACAACTTTTACGGAAATGGCGAACTGAAGGGCGCACACAAACGGTTTTTAATAGATAGTTAGTAGTAGAATAGTCAAGAGGGAACTGAAGAAAACTCCAACTACTAAAGCTTAATGTACAGTGCTCGGCACAGGATACAGATTACAGAGTACAGAATACAGAATACAGGAAACAGAAAAGGAATACTAGTTACTTACACTCCCGGTATTGGTGGTGTCTTTGACCGCCTATGTGCGCAGTGAGAAGCGTTTTGGGGCAACACACACACGTACACAGCATAAACATAAAGACAGGATAATACCAATACACACAAACACACAGAGGTGGGGGTAATTCAAAATTTGCAGGAGGTGCGCGCCGAATTTCGGATTAGATTTTGAGTTTTGGTTAATTTTTGGGGGTTAGTTTGGTGAAAGCGCATAGAAAAAAGTGTGAAAAGAGAAAGAATTTGCGTTTAGTCAGATGTTCTTGGTTAATTTTGCTCGAGTGTGTTAGGTGAGTAAGTGGAAGCACATAATTCAGCAGCAGCGGCGGCGGCAGCGACGAATTGTGGAAGCGGCGCAGCAGCAGCAGCAGCTCGATGGGGTGAACGGAATGGGGTTGCCAATCATGACTCGTCCTTACCTGTGAGAAGTTCGGCACGCTGACGGTCTTGCGCATGCTCAGCGGCTGTCCATGGGCCGTCTCCAGCTCCTTGACCGCCACGTTCTGCCGCAGGCGATCCAGGGTCAGTATGCTCTCCACCGCCGAAACGCCACGCGTGTATTTCTCTAAGGGATCGAGGGATCAGGTCAGTAAGTAGTCAAATACATCTTCATAACTAGACCTCGGATTATGCATATTTACATATTTTTACAGGATAAAGATAGATCAATTCGGAAAACACTAAAGTGCGTTTCAATAAAAATATAGTTGAATATTAATGGCATATTTTATTTTTTTTGCCTACTTGCATAAAATATGCAAAATATAAAATAAACACAACTATTCAAGATTGACCATTTCAAAGCCAACCTAATTTAATTTAAAATTGTTTGTTCCTCTTCGTCATTTCTGATATATCTAATTTTTAGGCGAGAGGGGGGCAGAATAGTTTTTGGCCCTATCGGCCAAACTGCTCGTTTAAATTGCTCGCTGTTTTTACTGAAGGTTTCTTAGAATACCAGAGGGCTATATTAAAAATTTGAGCCTCCAGTTGTTCGCATATATTTTGCATTTTTTGCATATAAATTGCATACTTCCGATATGCACCCGAATTTATTACATTTGAAATCGGACCAAAAATGGACAAATAGGCAAAATCCGAGGTCTATTTATAACCAACTCACCTATGTAGGTTTCGCCGTCGCTTGCCGAGCAATCATCACCGCTAGCCGCCAACTGGGCCAACGATTCGCGATCCTCCAGCTCCTCGGAGGCCTTTGGAATGTTGGAGACCACCTCATAGGTGACGCCGCTCTGCCAAATGGCATTCTCACCGCGCACCAGTCGGAATTTCTTGAGGCGATCGGTCAGCGTTTGGCCCTTCTTGATGTTTATGCTCAGCCGTTTGCGCAGCACGAGATCCATGGGAGCGGGATGCGAAAGGCGCACCGTGGTGCGCAGTATGAGATACACACGCTCATTCGCTTCGGTCACACGATTCAGGGCCTGGCTGTCGTGCATCGAAGAGTCCCAGCTGGCCACACAGCACACATCCTTGTCCAGGTGCTGCAGAATCTGCAGCGTGTAGAACTTGTGTCCATGCTCCTTGGACAAAATTGAATTGATGCCGGCCACGGAGAGCTCGTCGTTGGTGTTCTGCGCGGACAAATCGTCGCCATTGAGGTTGAGGAAGAGCACTGGCACATGGGGCTCCATTCCCGATGGGGGTTCCCACGAGGCGGGGGCTCCGGGAATGCCCGAACCAGGAGCCGGCACTAAGACCGCATTGCGCTCCTCCGTCAGCGAAACCCACTGATGTACCAGGCTCAGCTCGCGTTCCCTTTCCTGCTCGTTCTTCTCCTCCTTCTTTATGAGCATCTGGATCTGCTGGTCAAGATACTGACGCCTTCGTCCCAACGCCTCGCTCCACTTCTCGCGCAGCACAGTGAGATCCTCCTCCTGGTACGAGTCTAGTGGTCGCTGCAAACGAGATCGCACCGTCACACTGCCAATGGCCACGTTCACAATCGACTGGCAAATGATGGGCAGGGTGCCAGAGTTCTGCACGGGCTTCACCCGCACATTCACGCGCCGCTGTTGACCCTGACGCAACTGGTAAATCCCACCAGTCAGTACTTCATTCCGATTTGTCACCTCCACCGGCGAATACTCGCCGTTGTCGTTTAGCTCGTGGATCTCCACCCAAAGCTCGATCTTGCGCGACAGCTCCGCCCAGCGATCGACCAGGGAACGGGCCTTCGCTTGCTGCTGCTCCACTTCCCAGCCCTTTGTCCTGGAGAAGCCGGCACTGCGATGTCCCCATACTTCGATGGACAGCGCACCCTCGATGCAGTGCTCCAAAAACTCTTCGTTTATGGTGACCGTAAAGTCCTGGGTGTGCTCGAACTTGAAGACCATATTCTGATCATGGGCCGTTGACTCCGCGTTGATGACCGGCACAACCATCTCCTGGTGACCCCAGAAAGTGTACTGGCAAAAGACGAAGTTGGAGAGCGACAACGGCAGGCCACTGGCGCACTTGATGGTCACACGGCAGGTAATCTGATTGGATGTGGGATCCACCGGGTCGTCGTACTCATCCCGCGAATCGCCGGATGACTCGGAGACCGACTCGCACATGCGATCTTGCGGCATCTGTCCCGCGATCCGCTCGATCTCCACCTGCAGACGACCCGCCACCTCGCCTTGCTGGCTGATGATCGGCGTGTGGTAGTCCAGCTTGACGTCGTGGAAGAGAACCTCCAGGAATATATTGGCCACGCCAATGAGATTGTGGTTCTCCTGCGACTCGTAGAACGGATCTTGAGGCTTGGCGCTGTCGTCGTCCTGTGGAAATTCAAGAATAATGTTACCTTTGGCTTAATCCCAAACAATACTAGGCTACAACATAGTTTAGACGTGTGTGGGGTGCTGGGGGTGTGGTGTCTTAATTACCTTGTCGTCGTACTCGTCGTCTGAGAATGGCTCTATAAGGGGCTGTAGTCAGGGGTTAATTGAATGCGTGTGTGAATCGATACAATTATAAATGGTTAGTACGCAGCACATTGGCAACAGGTGGAATGAAAATGGCATCGAATCTGAGATAACATACCAATCCGTTGAGAATGCGCTCCTTGTGATCCTGGTACATCTCGCGCATGTCGATCAGCTTGTTCTCCAGCTTCTCCATCGTCCAGATTTGGCTGCCCGAGTTGGTGCGCTTCACCAGAATGGCGGGTTCGCTGACGAAGGCGCCTCGCCGCCTGTTGGGACTCAGATTGGCCGGCGGAATCTGCAGAGTGACCGAGAACTTGGTCTTCTTCTCCATCTCCTCGGCCAGGAAGTTGGCCTCCTGGACCAGAGAATTCGCACGCATAATATCGGTTTTTAGCTGGCCCAAGCTGCGCCGGAACATCTCATCGCGTTCCTGGAAAAAAACGAAGATATATATTAAAGGGTAAAGAAAACCACGAGAGATCTCCCTTTTACCTGCGCCCACTTTTCCACCCGCATCTGCGAAGTGGGAGTATTCGGGGTAATCTTGCCCATGCGCAGCGGATCGTAGGGAGCATAGGGAGCATATGGTGTACTGGGCGACAGAATATTGCGCAGCTGTTGAAACTGACGCTCGTACTCCTGCCGCTGCTTCTCCAGCGCCACCTGCTTATCTTCCTCGTGCTGACGCTCCAGCCGAGCAATGGCCGTCTGGATGGGGTCGTTGCTCAGCTCGTTCTGCATAATCTCATCGCGTGCGAAATTGTAATCAATCAGTTGCGCCGGCGTCTGGGGCTCCGAGGCACACATACTCGTGTTATTGCTCTTCGGCGAGTTAACGCGGAAGAAATGGTGGTTGCCCCACAGGATACGGTCGCCATTCTGCAGCGGCGTCTTCTCTACAGCTGCCGATCCGTTGACAAAACAACGCGCTCCCTGCACGGGCTCCATGTACAGACCACTGTCCTCGATGGTGATCACACAGTGCTCGGGCTGGATGCCCAGGCCGGAAAGTTGAATGTCCGGCTGCTGGCCACTGATGCTGCGTCCGCCGATCAGCGTTCGTTCCTGGAAATAAACGGGCATTAATCAATCGGTTTTTTCGTAGGTTTATAATAGAGCCCTGCGTGAAGCATTCAATTTTTGTTTAAACATGGTGTTTAATTCAATTCTCTGTGGAATAAAATGAATGTTTTTCTAATTCATTTTGAATTGAATGAATGAATGAATAATTTTTATGAATTTTTTGAACTTGCCTGATTTTTTTTGTGCTTTCTTTTAAGAAATTATTTAACAAATCAATATTAAATGCCTAGTAAATAAAATTCAGGCAGATTTAATCACAAAATTGTGGCCCTTTCTTCTTCAAAAGAAATTGTCGTTTGAATTATTAATTCATTCTATTCTATTAAACTCAAAATTCTAATTAATTCATTCAAATAAAACAAAAAATTCTAATTAATTCATTCATATAAAACAAAAAAATTCAAAATAATTCATTGAATGCATTCATGCTGGGCTCTAATTTATTAGCACCCACCTTCAGGTAGTAGACCAGCAACTCATTGAGGGACGGATCGGCGTTCAAATTGACCAAATAGTACTTGTTCTTCTCCACCTTGATGCCACTGGCCTGCACACTGATGCCCATCTTCTCGAGCGCCTGCTGTCGTTCGTTCTGAATGCGCTCCGTCTTGACCAGCTTTTCCTCCCAGGTCTGCGAGATCTGCTTCATCAGGTTCTCGCTCTCAGCCAGCTTGTCCTGGACATCGCCCACCGGCGACCCGGTGGCATGTTTCAGCATGCTCCTGAGCGTCTCCACCTCGTGTCGCAGCTCACGAATGATGCGGGCATTGGGATCTTCGTTGACCACAGCGTGATTAACAATGCGCTTGGCCCGATCCGCATAACGTAGCGTTGAAAGAGTTTCCTCGTAGTTGTCCGCCGAGGGTGAAATCGTGGCCACCATCACTGTCCTCGAGTTGCCACCCAGATTGTCCTTCAGCAGCCAGGTGAGCACGGAGTCGCGATAGGGCACAAACTTGTCGTTGCCGCTCTTCTTGCCGTTCGTTTGATCGGCCAGCTTGGAGATGACCAGGCCAAGGGTGGTTAGAGATCTGGAATATGAACAAGCGTAGGAATTAGCACAGAACCTTAATAGGATTGACTCCCAACGGAAATGCAAGTCACTGCGATGCGGGTTGCTCAAGATTAAATTTGATCATCACAAATGACCTGCATAGCCGTTGAAAGCCAATGCAAACCAAGATTATTGACTAATTGTCACCCACTTGTTGATGTTGGAGCCTTCTTTGAGACGATCGCCAACGGCTCCCGTTTTCACGGCTCGCTCGGAGCCAGCCAAATCCACCAGGGACATGCGGGACACCTTCTCGCCGCTGACGCCCGTCGCCTGATCCGTGAGTATCTGAGTGAGGACCACCGAGAAGACGGCGTGGGAGCGCGAGGACTCGGCGTTCATGTTCGTGGCGGCCACCGTTCGCGATTTGTTGCCCTCGGTCATGAGGTTATCGATGTCCTGGTAGGATGTCACCGCCAGCTGCGACAATCCGTCCACATAGGGACCCATGACATTGTGCTCGCGCACCTTAAGAGACTGTTTGTTCGGCTTGGGATCGAGCAGATCGTGGACCTTCTCGTTGTAAATCTCCATGTACGACACCTCCACCTTGTACATCAGTTCGGGTGTGGATTTGTTGGCTATGGCCGAGAAGAGCTTGTCGCAGAGACGCGGAATGATTCCCTTGCTCTCCTGGGAGCCCATCATCGTGTAGGACTTGCCAGAGCCTAAAAAAGAGGGGAATAAATGATTGATTAAAGCGTGACTGTGGTGAATCACCAATCATGATGGATCTTACCTGTCTGGCCGTAAGCGAATATGCACGCATTATAGCCCTGGAATGCATTATCCAGAATTCCACGTCCCACGCAATCGAATACTGTCTCCTGGGACGCAAAGTTGTCGTCCTCGGGATTCAGTGAGTAAAAGCAGTGATCGAATGCAAATGTCTTTGGTTGTTTTCTGTAAAAAAAAACGAAGGTTATTAAGGGGTATTAAGCAAACTGTTTGGCATTACAAAAGGTATTACAGGTATAATTTGATTGGTTGTGCAACCGACAGTCGGCTGTTTAAATAATGCAATATGCAGGTAATTTTTTAAAGCTATTTACCTTTCGATTTTTTCCAGTGGTGGCGGATTCTGCAGTATCGTCTGCTGTTTTTCCATTTCCACGATACATTTTGTACCCAGTTCGATTTCTGCAAGTAAACGAAATCACTTTTAGAGAGCTGTTCCGGAATATATTTATATGTTATGTGTGAAATTGAGATAATTTCGCCTTTATTCCGCGCTTGGGGTGATAACGAGTTCAAAGTGGCAAAAACAATTTAATTTTATACACTGGCTATACCCTGTACATAGCGCACAAAAGTCTGTGTGTTGGGTTTTTCGTACATAAGTGCGAAAATGGATTCGTAGAGAACGCGAGGGGCGATAAATGTGCAATGCCACTATAATCTCAATGGAGAGGAGAGAACCTTTCAAATAAATTGTAAACAAACGTAAAAAAAAAGGAGAAGCTAAAATTGAGTTGCCCAATCTGCCCATGTAATAAATATTTCAGTGGTAATAAAACAATAAGCGATTAGATAGTCCGCTCAAAACGAAAATCGGTTGCCCTTGGCATTATCAGTCAGAGATTTCTTTTAAGCAGTGGTTAGATATGATTACAAATCAATGATTAGGTATTGGAAACTATTATATCATATTTAACATATCATAATTAATTTAACAGAATTTAACTTTTACTTTACTTCTGAAAAACAATCCAACATACTAACAGCTAGTTAAAAATAAAATCAAAATTAAATAACAAAACTATCCTACATTTAATTTTATGCCTTCTTTAAATGTCGGCAAACGAGGTGACCTTATCAGGCTGATTATTCCATTCATCCTGGCTGGCGAATACCAAAAAGTGCCAGCTAATAAATCGTGGAAATATTTCTGTTCAAAAGCCCCCGTGTCCTTCGCATACTTCATTCACTCACTCATTCAGTCCGAACAGAACGGAACAAACGGAACGGATCCAAATGGCAGAGAACGGCAAAATGGCAAAGGCATACTATATTCTATATCTATAAGGCATACAAAAACATGACGAGGAAGTGGGGAAACAGCGACGTCAAAGCCAAACCCAGACGGGCAGACACATTTGGGCCCACACACACAAGTCGGGATGTTTCAGGGGATGGGGATGTGGATGGGGTTTATATAGTATACAACCGTATCCTGGTGTACTGGCTGCCTGGCCTTTGGAACTTCCGTTCCGCTTTATGTTACAGAGCCGAGAACGTGACATGACATGGAAATGAAAGCCGCAAAGGACCCGAAACGATATAGGACCGACCTGACCCTATGTCTTGGCCAACTTGGCTCAAATGTGACGAAGGCGTGCCATAAATTATTTGATGGTCTCATTTGTAGTTCTGGTCAGTTGATTTGATAGCGACTCCATCGTCTCCGTCTCCGTATAACCTCAAACGGTTTTCTCTTCGCTATTGTCCAGCGCTGAAATTAACATACATACACTGTGCTTTATACACGGGCAGAGTGAAAACAGGTTAAGCTTTTTGGGCAAGAAGTACCAGAGCTGTGACTTCATTTCGAGCTTGTTTCGACTGACTTTGCTCCGTGTCTTTGCATTTGAAATTGCCTTTTCTGTTTTCATTTTACGCTCTGGTGGCCAGCTCAACGCGGAGAGGTCACTAGTGAGTAGTTACGGACATGGCCCAAATACGTTGCCCACGATTGACTAATGCCAGGCACTTCATGTGTAACATGGTATCTCGCAAATAAACGCCTTTATCAGACGACTCATGAGATAACGTTTCTGCGCTGCTTATCGCAGACATTCGGGTGACTACTACAAGTTACTCCCTTTCAGTCACAAAAAACGGCAACGGATCAGGTATTTCGGCAAACAAGTCGGAAACATGACAACACAAAACATCGAAAAACAGGCAAACTTCTAAAAATAAATGCGGTTACTAAGTTTACGCGCAAGCCCTATTGAAAGTGACAAATTATGATGGATAAACTAAGAGTTGTTTTTCGTTTGCCAATAAATAAGTCACTAGAGCTTTTACCAATACAATTAATTATTTCTAGAAACAACAAACAAAATATTAATAGGAAATCCAAAAAATTATTAACAGTTTAATATTATAATTATAAGAGCTTTTATGGAAAACCAAAATGTCAAATTTAATTGCTCTATTTATCATGTGTTTTTGAATAGAAACAGAAATGTGTAATTAATGCACAGGCACTAAGTGCACTTTGCTCCGTATAAATATACTTGATTATCTCTAAAACTTGAATATAATTATATATTTATACCCGTTACTCGTAGAGTAAAAGGGTATACTAGATTCGTGCAAAAGTATGTAACAGCTAGAAGGAAGCGTTTCCGACCCCATAAAGTATATATATTCTTGATCAGGGTCACTAGCCGAGTCGATCTAGCCATGTCCGTCTGTCCGTCTGTCCGTCTGTCCGTCTGTCCGTCTGTCCGTCTGTCCGTCTGTCTGTCCGTCTGTCTGTCTGTATGAACGCTGAGATCTCGGAAACTACAAAAGCTAGAAGGTTGAGATTTCCCACACATATTCTTTGGCTTCCTACGCAGCGCAAGTTTATTTTAGCCGAGCGCCACGCCCCCTCTAACGCCCACAATCGCCCACTAACGATTTTAAAATGGGTCCTGCGCCCACATCCTTAAAGATTTCCGATAAGTATAAATGCAATTTTGTTGTGTATATTTATACCTATCGAAATGTAGAAGACTTTTTTCAAATCGGACCATTCATTAAAAAGTTATACGCATTCAAAATTTATATATCTATCTCCCTCGCACTCCCTTTAGTTGAGTGACGGGTATTAGATAGTCGGGACACCAACCCGACTATAGCGTTCTCTCTTGTTTTTAATTTTATTTGTTCTCCCACCGAGTTGAATAATTTACCCTACAGAAGTTTGACTGTGATTCAAACTGTTTATAGAAATTATGTAAATATAAACAAAAGTGCAATCATCTGAGAACATTTGCCATTGAATCAATAAAGGGGTAGTCCCATCAGACCTTGGCCCATATAACTGGAATATTTCTCCAACTCCCATGCAGTTTGTTTATATTTTAAGTTATCTGTAACCCTTAATTGTAACTTTAAGTAAAACTGTTTCTATAATTTATGCAAATATAAACAACTGTGCAATCATTGAACAAAGTTTGCCATTCCATCAATATGGCGGGGATCCAAGTGGACCTTGCCCCACGCACAGGCGTATTTTTATAGGTATTATTTCCATGTGGCATATGGCTGTGTCGTTTAGCCCCTTTTTCCGCCGCCATCCTTCGTTTCCGCCGCGAATGTGAGTCATGGATAAGCCAAATGAATGATCAGTGTTGACATTGGAAACGCTGACGGCGTTGTTTTTTGCACTTGCAACACTTCATGGCTGCAGTGGGAAACGCGAAATTAGCTGGAAGCGAAAATCGTTTGTCAGACGACCAGGGACCATCGCCATCGCCATCCAAACCATCCCATTTCGTAGGTAGTCGTAGTAGGTATACAAAGGTATACCGACCCAACTATACGACACATTTAAAGCCAGCGAAAAATCCGCTGGCGCAGCACGGGGAAAACGAAAACGAAACCGTATTTCAAAGGAAGCGAACAAGAAGAAGCCCATGTAAATTTCGTTAGCCTAAAAAAACAGTCTCTTGCCTGGTTGTTTGCATTATTGATTGCAGGCAACTGCAGTGCTCAGGGTATTGTTCGGAAAGAAACAATGTCGGAAAATATGTGGGGAGAACGCAAAGTGCGGGCTACTCAAGGCAACTCCTTGTGGACTGCAGGATCATCGCTAGGAAAATAGATGTAATCTGATTTTTTTGAGTTTCTTTTCCACCTAAATAGTAATAGTAAAAAGTAAAACCAACTGAACAAACGAACAAAAGTTCCCAAACAAAGAATAACTGTACGGCGTATTTACTCAAAACTATAAACTTTTTCAGCATCAGTTATTGTTAGGAACATTACTAATTAGTTACTAAGCATGTGCTTATATTTTCTTGAATGTCAAAATTTTAGTAAGAACGTTAAATAAATGAGAATAAAACGCTAAATACAATAATTTGTATTCTCTTTGACATTTATCTCTAAGAATATAAATATTTTTGATAATATTTGTTGTGGAATTTCTCTTTTGTTAAATAAACTACTTCCATATCTTGGCAATTCTCTAAATTTGAGTATGAACGTTGAATATTAAGTGATAAAAAAGCATTAAATACAATCATTTTATTAGTTTGACATTTGACTCTAAAAATAAATATTTGATAATACTCGGTGCAGAACTTCTGGAATGATTAGGACAGGCAATAATGCAAAATCATTGTATAGTTCATAAGAAATGAAAAATATTCTCTATTATTAGGCAAAATACTTCCATATCTTGGCAATTTCCATAATTTGAGTATGAATCTTGAATAATAAGTGATAAAAACACATTTAATACAATCATTTGTATTCTTTTTGACAATTGTCTCGAAGAATATATTTTTAATAATATTTTTTGAGGAATTTCAGAAATGATTAGGGGCAATAATCTTAAATTATTATACAGTACATAAGAAAACAAAAAAATGGTCTATTATAAGGGAAACTTCTCCCTATCTTGTCAATTTGGCTGACCTTGAATTATTTAAAATATTTATTTTTAATACACGAAAGACAGTATAATATTTCTCCCAGTGCAGGGGATTATCTGAGGCATGGAAATCGCAATTTAAAAATCGGCACTTACCGCGGCGATTGAAGGGTCGCACCCTTACGGCGACTTTGATCTTATCACTTGACATCGCGGATGTGTATGCGGATGCGGATGCAACGGCTGCTTCTTTTTCTCGTTGATTTTCTTGATGATCTAGAGTGGAGATGCGGGTGGGCGGGGCACCTCTCGCTGGGGGGCGGCGGGGGGCGTGGTTAGCTCCTTCTCCTCCTGCTGCGTTGCTACTTTTTATTAGCGTTAGTTAGTCGGTTTGTTGTCGTCCTCGCGGGAATTGTGTGCACGCAATCTGGAAGGCAGGTGGAAGTCGTAAGCTGACTCACAAATATGTGGCTCTGGTGGAGCGCCAAAAAAATAAATTATACATATATTGTGTGAGTTCAATTAGCGCCACGCACACAGGGGCAATTCTAACAGTAAGTGGGTGGAGCAGGGTGGTGGGGGGAGCAGGGGGTGGTTTTCCATTTCATTCTCGCCGTTTGTCATTCACTTTGTTTTGCTTTTGCTTTTTTGCTTTGTTTGTTGTTACTACACACACACACGCGTTTTATTGTCATGTGCTGGCATTCCGTTATTTACGCGAGACACTCACAAATATTTGCGTAAATTAGCTAATTAAGATTATGATTGGAGAGTCCTTTCCGATTTTCAGGGCCTGTGCAAATAAATATGTACATACATAGGGGCTATCTTTTTTGCACTTGCTCACTCACACACACACACGTGCTCATTCTGCACAGGTACCTTTTTAACCCTACAAAGCCCTGAAGTCTAGAGTTTTCGAGGATCTGCAGGGAAAAGCTGGCGAAAAGTAAAAAAACCAGGCTCCACCGCCCGCGCAAAAAAAACAGAAGTCTAGAAGGCGACTTCTTTGAAGAATCGATTTTTATGGCTCTCTTTTTTCTGTCGCGGGGGGCAGCTCCACCAACGGGGGCCCACTTCCTAGCACTACGCCCGTTGATTTCTATATTATTTACGGTATTTAGCTTATCGCACCTTTTGCTCCGTCGTTTTTGCACTTTGTTTCACTTCAATTTTGCTTTTCTGTATTGCGTTTTCATTTTTCGCGTTTTTCTTTTTCCCCAGCAATTTTCTACTAGAGCAGCGTGACCGTGCCGGACCAAACGAGAAATGCCAATTTGGTCTCAAAAATATATACAAAATATACTATAAATACCATAACAAATAATGAGGGGATTCCATATAAGTAACAAAAAGTTAGGAGTGTGTATCGGGTGTTAGGAGGGTGTATCCGCTAATATTAGGTAGCTCTCATTGCTAGTTAGGAGGATGTATTCGCTAGGCCAGGAGGGTGTACTCGCTACTGTACTATGGGAAAAATAGTTGTTTTTATTGCATATTCTAAATATTTACTTTAGTATTTGCTTAAAAATTAAAAAATAATAAAATATACACAAAATAGGGGGAGAATCGAAGTCCGAAATGACCAATTAAAATTAAGCAGTTCTGTGGTGAACATTTTCCAGTTTTGGGTTAGTAAACACGTAAAATCCTTTCACAGTTAAATTAAATATAGGGATTGATCCACAGAGGCAATTGAAATTATCACAGAATTCACGTTTTGTATCTTCCTGTAATTTTGGTTTTTACTTCCTGTAATTTCTGTTGACCCTGTTGAAAAATAAGCATGTGATTCCTGCTGTAATTGCATTTTAAGTGGTACTTCCGGCTTAATATTGCTCTTTTTTGCTACAGTAAACATAGCTACGATAAAGACATAAAAAGTAAGCCGGGTTCTTAAAACATAAATATTTATATGAAAGCAATACAATTTTTTTTAATTCAAGAAAATAAATTAGTTGAAAAAATAAAGTCCTTAAGAAACGCTAAATTAAAGTTATACTGCATTATTAAGCGATTGCGATGTGAAGGGCTCTTATTGCCGATCCCATATCATCGGGGAACGCCCCCATATCATCGCAGTGTCAATGAACGCGATCGATCGGTGTGAGAAACAAGAACCGGCACCTTTAAGCCCGACTTTGTGACGTATCTGTAAAGAGCCGATCTCAAATGCAGGCCGCCGAGATTCAAGATTCCCCAAAATAAACAACGCGAAAAGCAGTTTCGCTTTCATCGCTCGGTTTGTTTTCATTCGTATCGTTTTTTTTAATGCCCCTTGATACCTGTTCACGTGCGTTTAGCCGATCACGGAGTTTATAAAGGTTTGGATCGCAGCAAAGGGTCACAGTTTCTCGGAAAGACGCGAAGCTGCGAGTGTCGCGTTTAAAAATAGAAAATAAAAAAAACATATGTGTATATAATCCGTGATTTTGATTTCCAAACATTACAAAAGTAAATAAACAAGCCGAAAAAATAATAATTAAAAGCGAATGCCAAGGACAGTTCTATATTGATTGGATACTTGTTTGCGCCGCCCCTGAAAGTAGGTCAATTTTAATCGTTTGAAGTTTGTTTAGATCCGGGATTTATATTGATCTAATGCCTTGACCCCTAAAATACAATGCAAAAGGAGTAAAAAATATTAATATGCAACTCTCTCAAGATGCTGCCATTAATAACTATTCACACGCAAGCCAGCAAACATGGCAAAACCAGACCCAGTTGGCGAATATTAGTTACAAAACCATCGTTTGTCCAAAAACTGGGCGATCGGGATCCGATTCACTGGCAAAGTTAAGGTGAAGGTTCATTTGCATAGCCAAAAACCAAAAAATAGATGCGAAACCAAGCGCAGATTTACGATTTACCCTTGAAACGGTTTCATCCAAAAGCCATTAGCTGCCATAAAATGCAAACTTGCTATCGGGGGCTTACAACTGCGAATCTCTGGCGACGTCTTCGAGAGCAAAGAAAACACTGGATATTGGCTATATTATTATTTTTTTTATTATTATTAGGTTTCGGCCCACGCCCGAGCCAAATTGGCAAAACGCCCGGGGGACTTATTCTCGAATTTCTACCTCCATCAGCCTAAGCAAACATCGTTTAGGATGAGTATTTTTGGGCAAATAAACAATAATTTAATTTAATTTATGCATGTAAGTTCTGAAGCACGTGTCTTGAGCCCCTGCCCAAAAAATGTCCATGTTGGGATCTTGAAAACTGTTCACCAGACACACGCACTCTAGTCGTTGACCTCTGGCAAAAATTGCAGATATGGTTGGAAATAATAGAGGTAATAACACTGAACTTGGGGCATCAATAGTTGGTTGGTACTTGAAACCCCATGAATCAACGCGAATGACAAGTTCGACTGATTTCTGCCTCTGGCAGCCCATAAACCTTCGGGTGACTGTTCATTATAGACACTGTGCTTTTTTTTTGCGGGCGAATTTCTCGTGAATCAAACTAATCCGATACATTGGAGCTCTGACATTGAGACGCACTTACCGCTCGGATGCGGCTAATTGATGTTTGAATTGAACTCCACCTTCCACTTGGGTTACCATTAACACTTCCATGTTCTGCGATCTGTTGATTGGCAGGTGTAAGTCCCCCTTTTGAAACCTATGTTCCTTAAAACTTTATGGTTGAACAAATGAAAATGATAAATATTTAAAAAAAAGAAAGAAAGAGTTGGGATTAACTAAATAAATAATAAAACCTTCCAATAAAATAAAATTCATAACCCAATCCACAATAATTTATGGTTTTGGGAGCAAGTCGCGAATTCTTTAGACCCCCATTGCCAAAAGATTAATTTGATATAACCTATGTAATCAATATTCTTTGTGAAATATGTTAGAAAGTTGGTTAAGAGTGTGCTTTTCAGAGAGATAAGAGATTAACGAGGCAAAAAAGTGGCGAAAGATCTGAAAGGGTTAAGTGATTAGTGGACAATAATACCCATACCTGAGTTACGGCTTTGCCAGCTCGTAAATCTTTTCCGGTAGGAAGTCTACGAAACTTTGTTTGTTTTTCCCTCCTTGAGGGCTGCCTCTGTTTTTCGTAATTTTTCGTAACTTGGGAGTGGAGTGTAGTGCTCGCATTGATGGGTAAACAATTAAACACCTCTTACTTTTTCCAGCTGCCGCTTCGTTAGCGGTCCATTGGCATGGAAAGGCACTGGAAGTGGGTCTTAATCGTCGGCATCTTGGCTTTGGAGGCGAATGCTGCGGTGAATGATACAGCCACTTTGCGACAGTATCGCTATGATTACGGACTATTCAATGCCAGTTTGGAATTGGCCACGGAAGTTATCACAACAGATTCGCTGGGGAAAGAAGGATCTGTTGTCCAGTCGAAGCATGAACCCCATCTCATCCGGAGCTCCGTCATCTTTGGCTTGACCAAAGTGGCCAACGAGAGCAATGTGAATCCCAGCTGCCACTCCCATTTGAAGCAAGTGCAGCGGGGGATTCTCAATAAACAACCTTGGGCCATGAAAGGTGAGTAAGCGGAAACGGGATTGCGATAAGAATCATTGTACAATACACGTTTCAAGATCCCACTTATACTAATTTATTCCAAAGTGTGCTTAATTGAGAGCAGTTCTATTATGGAAATTTTAAATTGAAGATTAAGTAACATTATTACATGAAAGTAATACTTTGTTCCATTTATCCCTACAAAGTAAAATGATATTTTCCATTTTCAATGAAATCTTAAATTGAAGGTTAAGTAACATTATTACAAGAAAGTTTTACTTTATTCTATTTATCCCTACAATGTAAAATGGGTATTATATTTTATATTTTCCATTTCCAAAGAAACAAATATGGACTTCTGTATTTTACTTATTACAAGTTGGTATGCAACATGAATATTATAATTAATATTTCCCATTTCCAATGAAACATATGGATAAATATGGACTTTTGTAATTTACTAATTACAAGTTGAATGGAAATATGTCTCATTGTTACAAGCAAATAATACCTTTTCAGGGAAATTCATAAGTACACCCATATATCATTTCTTATACATTTTTGTAACCGCATAGATAGGGAAGAACACTCGAATACCAAGTATTTGAAATGGCAAATAGGTTAAAGTTTTTATTTATTTTAAGTGGGATGAACTTAGGTCTTTTAAATACACCGATTACAATCACACATTGTCTCAACAAGTACTATTTGAATTCCAGTTCTCGATGCGTCGGGGACCAAGCCATCTGGTTTCGTCTTCGGTCAGAACTACTGGCTGGGAAGTCGAGAGGCGTGTCGCGGGGTCCAAGGCCCCGTGGGCATAACTCTATCGCGGAACTACGAGCGCGTCATGCACTACAGCATCCTAACCCAAAGTGCCCCCTTTGGGATGGACTACCGGGTGATTTACCTGCGCCACCGGTCGCCGTGGCAGGTGGAGATCAAGGTGATGTCCGAGCAGGTGCTCCACATCGGCTTGTGCCTACCCAGCGCCTGTGGCTCCGAGGAGGTGAAGCAGCTGACCAGGGACTATGTGGCTGGGGGATCCTTCGCCGAGGACGACATCTATGACATGAAACCGGAGGTCCTGTATATGAAGGATCTCCAGCTGAGGGAGAGCTTCTTTCAGAGGCTCACTTTCCGTTTGGTGGTGGCTGCCATCCTGGTCACTGGAGCCCTGATGCTCTGTGCCCAGCAACTGCGGGTGGCCAAGAGAGGCGATGATCCTGATCCTGGCCTGGCTCCCGTGGAATCGGAGATCTGGCAGGCATTAGATTCCCTCTTAAAGAAACAGCCGCTTCAGAACATCGTCTCCTGCTTCGATGTGGCCGACAACTGGAGAAAGATTTCCGCCATGAGACCCAATCAGCCGGGGGAGATTCCCATTATGAACGGCCTGCGATCCGTGTGTGCCATCTGGATCCTCATCTTCCACGTGGTCTGGTACATGTACTTCACGGTGCACAACAAAACGGAGCTGTTATCCTATGCGGAAAAGGTCTTCTTTCAGTATGTCTCAACGGCCCCACTCCTCGTGGATGTCTTCTTTACCATCAGGTAAATAAAATGTTTAAATATTTTAAAATATTTAAATTATATTTTCATGGCTTCTAGTGGCTTTCTGCAAACCTACAACTTCCTGAGGAATGCCAAGCAACTGGAGGCAGTGCGTGGCAATGGTCTGTGGGGCAATGTGAAGCTCTTTGGAAAGCTGCTGTTCCATCGCTACCTGAGATTGGGTCCACTGTACCTGGTGGTCATGGGCAGCGTGGACTTGGCCTTTGCCTACATCGGCGACGTTTCCGTTTTCCACATCAACGAGAGATTCGATGAGCTGTGTCATCAGCACTGGTGGCGGAACCTGCTCTTCATCCAGAATTTATTCGATCACCGGGAGATGTGTGCCAACTGGAGTTGGAGTCTCGCCTGCGACATGCAGTTCTTCCTGCTGGCAAACATTGTGCTCTTCATTTACGCCAAGTGAGTGGGGATTTTAGATTGGATGATCAATTTGATATTAACAATATTTCAATATTGATCATTTCTACCTTAGAATAAAGTAAACTTTAATTTAAAATTGCATCATACAGAGTTTGAATTATTCAACTTTTTGTATCGGTGTTATAATGAAATAAGAATGAATACTTTAACTTATAGATCCATTTTTATATATTTCTTTGTAGGCATCCAAAATTGGCCAAAGGACTGACTGTTTCTGGACTTTTGGCCACCATAACCTGGTCCTACGGCATCGGAATCACCAACAAATTCGAGTTCTCCTTCGATTCTACGTACGCCACTGGAACTCAGATCTACACGAGTCCCTTTGTGAGGGTCCTGCCCTATATTGTGGGTGCAATGGCCGCCTGGTGTCTCCAGGAGCAGCGATTCCAGGTGGAGCTGAGCGAAAGGCAGACCCGTAGGTTGTGGCACCTCAGCCTGCAGGTGTTCCTGGGCTGCATTTACTCCACGGTGAAGCGGGATCTTGGTCACCTCATCACCATATCGCTATTTGTCCTGGGAAGGGCTTTATTTTCCCTCACCGTTTGCTGGATGATCGTGGGCAGTGCAACCGGAAGTGGAGTTTGGTGGTCACGACTGCTGGAGGCCAAGTGCTTTCAGCATCTGAACCGCCTGTCCTACGCCATATACCTATTGAATCCCCTGGTGATTGCCCTTGTTTACAGTCTGACCAGTACGAGTTCGGCAGCCGATCCCTTTCTGCTGGTGAGTTATCCTCTTTTTAATATATTTTTCTTATTTATTTGTTAATTTCGTATATTTTTTAGAGCGTCGTCTGCTGCGGCTTTACGATGATCGTCTATGTCGCCTCCATCGCCTTTTCGCTGGCTTTTGAGCTGCCCTACAGCAATTTGTCCAGTCTGCTGCTCAAGGGAAAACCAAAAACCTCATAAACTGTGATTACCACTCATTGTTAGCATTGCTTCTAAGTCATACTATTGATAAGAATATATGGTTAATACGAATATTTCATTAATACAAAACAATAACATTTTGGCGCCAATATTTTAAATTTCTTTGTGGAATTAATTATATTTGGTTTGTATCTCGGCTAAATGAGCACCCAATACTCTTAAACCATCCAAGCCAATTCAAAACTTCAAAACTTCCAATAAGCTTAAATATACTTTTTGGTATATTTACTTTAAAAAATACAGCCTCACTGGCCGCGCACTGCCATTTCATGTTAAATTTTCAGCGGGCCATCGGTGTTTCCATTCCAACTCCGTTGAATTTATTTTCGACCCTTTCGAAAATAGTTTAAAAGTTTAAAATAAAGAAATTAAGATGAGAAATTACATTCCGAGTAAACAAAACAAAAAATTAAAAACACCGCTGATGAGCCTGTTATGGACCCGAAAGACCATTCGAAATGTAAAGAGTCTGAGCCCTATGAATTTGGACTATTAATGAACAAAAAAATAAATGTCACTATCGATGGCATCCATTTTTGTTTTACGTTTTCTTTATAATTTTTTTAATTTTACTTTTGTTTAGTTTTTTTGGAGAACACATAAAGTTTATTACAGTTTTCAATATGTATTGTATTTACAATGTTGTCAGCATTGTTTATATTTAATACGACAGTTTGTAATTATTGTTACGGCCGCATTTTTTCACTTTATTCTGTTTTTCGCTATTTCTAGCGATTTGCAGATAAGGGCCTATTGCTCTGTTCGATAGGCTTATAAGCAGTGTTGGGAAAGGTACTGTTTTTTTACCTAGGTAATTAGCGATTAGTTTTCATTCTTAAATATGTACATATGTAAGTAATGTGTATATGTACATATTTCACATCTCACATCTTTGTGCAGACTTCCTGTCGATTTATCATCGAATTTTATTGTTTTATTAACACACAACACGCACTTGCGTGTTAAAAAATTTGCCATTTAATATTGTTGGCAACACTTTCTCGTTTAAATTTTCTTTTTCGGCCATGTCTGTCGCGCAAAGTCAAATTGTTTTGTGCATTTGAGAAAATTGCAGCGGTACCGGTTGCTATCGAATCCTGGAAAAGACCAAAACTAAAAGAATAAAAAATAGTTAAATAAATAAATTTTACCCTTGTGTGCACCTCCGGATCGACGCATGGCATTGACATCCCCGTAAACTTCTGGCTCCCGCAAATGAGGCAGATATTCGTTGGCCGCTCAATGCCCTCAAAACAATTTGTTTCCGGAAGCTTTGTATTCCATTATATTAATTTTAATATAATATATATTATTTTAATTATTTATTAAACTCACTTGGTTTTCAAAAGCCTAAGAATTACAAGAATTAGCAGCTCGTGAGCGTCGTGCTGCTCTCCGGGGGCCATTCCGCCTGGATAGACTGAATCAGGGCTGTCGGCCGGTAAACAAATAAGCTTGGTGGATACGCTACCAGGCGCGCATGCGCCGAAGCAACCTTAGCTTGGGCGAAGCTCAACTTAAACATGGCGTCTATAGGCGCGGGGTCTGGGTGATAGGCATGCACATAGGCCTCGCGCGTTCTGCTTTCTACTACAAGGTGCAGAGGGTATTATGATTCAGTCAGAAGTTTGCAACCGCTATGGCTAGGAATAATCGGAGAAATAATGGACAAAATTATAGCTCAACGTTTTTGGTTATACTCTTAGGACAACTTTTCTTATATATTCCGGAATTTCGGATTAAATTTACAAAAAATCGGACGATCATATCCGCCAAAGGAATGATATGCAAGGGTATATAAGCTTCGGCGGGCCGGCTTCCTTTCTTGATTCCTTTTTGGCTCTTTTGAATTTGTTCTAGTTTGAAACATACAAACGCTTACCGCACTTTGCACTGACACTATGAAATCACTTTTGTGAAGCTGGGCCTGCGGTGCGCAGCTTTTATAGGGACGCCGCTTGACCCATTTCCCCACACCAGAGGGAGAAAGCCTATCATCCCTTTCAGTGGTCTAAATGCTATGGGGTGTTTGCCCACTCATACTTTGACCCTCAAATCTCTCGATCTTCACAAGAGCTGGGATAGGCGCTCAGAAAATCCCCGCGCTTGATGGCTATGTTGCAACCAGGCGCGCTGCGGATTGGGCAGGTTGTTTTCATGTCCCCGGACAGTGGTTACGTGGCGGAAAAATTCCAGTTTCTGCTGACCTGTCCCTCACCGCGTCGCCAAGACATGGCCGCCATTCCGATTCCGACCACGACCGCGCCTAGGTCAATAACGCCTTCCCAGGACGATCACGCCTTTACCGTACCGCCCTCGCCCTCGCCCTCGCCAGTGAACTCCACGCGAAAATCGAGGCGAAATCGACTCGCTACCGCCACCGCCGATCGGACTTCCCCGCCCTCGCCACGCCACGCCGCCTCTTCCCCGCCCGAGGGAAGCCCGTTCAGCGCTGTAATCTCCAGGTCGGACAAAACCGAGGCTCTCAGCGTGGACGAGTACGGGGACAGCCGCAAGACGTGCGAGACGTGCGGCAAAACTTACAGGACCCTCATTGTCTCCTAAAACCACAAGCTGGAGTGCTCCGGGCACGGGGACGGGGACGAGGACAAGACATGCGCCCACTGCGAGAAAAGCTTCCTCTCGGCAAAAAGCCGCCAAGGACACGAGGCAAATTGCACTGCCAAGAGGAGGCGCCTCGAGGAGGAGGCCGTTATAGCGCAGCAAGATCCGGAGTCCGATTCTCACCTCCCCCTCCATCTGCGAGATCCTGAGGCGCAGGACAAGGTGCACGCCTTCAACAGGGCCGTCAACCTGCCCTTCTTTTGCCGCATCTGCGCTGCAAGGGTTAAGACGAAGGGAGCTCGCACAAACCATGAAAGGGCATGCGAGAAGGCGAGGAAGAACGCGGCTGCAAATCGAGGGAAAAAGGCCGGAACCGGAACCCGAGATGGATTGATCAACAGGGGCAGCATAAAAATTTTTTGAATTTACAAAACCTTTTAGTTTTAGCCAATTCAAAAAGCTTCGCTCTTATTAGGGTAATCAATTACTATTTACTATTATGGGAAAATACATTTATCTTAATTACTTAATTAATTACTTTTTAATTTTAATAAATTATGACTGCAAATACTGCAATACGCACACGCACGCATACATCACAACTGTGCAAAATAGGACAGCTTTATGCAAACCGCCATTTCGCGAATAGTAGTTGAGAATCGCGGTAGCAATCTTTGGTACGGGACGTGAGCATGGAGTCCTTGCATTTTAAGTGCTCCGAGGGAGAAACCTCCCTTGAAATAAAGTCCACCTCTCTGCTACGGAACGCAAAGTCCGTGGAGAAGGTAGTGAAGGCGTTGAAGGGCTTGGCAAGCGAACAAAAGGGGCCACGAGGCTCGCCGCATAGCGTTGCCCCGAAGAGGCCAACTTTTGGCGTGCAGCCGGCCTGCGGAGAAACGAAGAAGGCGGTTGCCTCGGTGGACGATGCCGAAGTGGACAAAAAAAGCAAACCTCGGAGAATGACCAACGACTGCCTATACTGCAATAAAGCGTTTCAATCAATCCAGAAATATAACCTGCACAAGGAATCAAAATCCCACGCGGAAAGGATTTGGGAGCTGCAGGCCAAATTTGGTCTCCACGATGCTCCTCTCCATTTCTGCGCGATTTGTGGAAAAGTATTTCAGTCGAAAAAGCAGGTTAGGTCGCACACCTTGGTTCACAGCAACCTCCCTAAGCCGTTCGAGTGCCCAAAGTGTTCAAAGCGCTTTCAACAAGAAAAGCAGCTGAAGATTCATTAGTGTGTGCAGGGGCAGAAATCCGTTACGTGTATTTGCGGCCTAACCGTGCAGGCGCGAAATATCGGCAACCACTGGCAGAGCAACACCCACAGGAACAGAATGAGAGGCCGAGAACCCGATGGGCCAGAGGTGGAGTGCAGTGCAGAGATGGCAACCATTGGCAATCTGCTCGAAGAGAGCCTAAGTAGTAAGGCATTTGTACGATTGTCCGATTATTGGATAGGCCATAACCACTTCATTTATTTTCCAGTGGTCTTTGACATCTTCGAATAGCCTTTCGACTAACGCGCGCAACAAAAAACTTGAAAAATTGGAAATTTACCAACACAAACGAGGGCTGAATTTTCGATTACAATTTCAAAAACCTGTACCTGGATCGCTATAAGAAAACAGATTTGAAATCAATAGCAATTTCCCATATAACCTTACGTGTTAATATGAAAGAGTAATGATTAAGTTATCATTTAGACAAATATGGTAGGGGGATTCCCTAAACTGTTGAATTGCTGAATTGTCGAATTTTGGTCAGCTGTTAATCAGCTGTTCCATACAAAGTCAACTTTCAGAAATTTCAGCAATTCAACAGCCTCGGGGCTGATGAAAATTTTGTTGAATTGCTGAAAAGCCAGAGTTGTCACCTTTTTTTAAAAGTCGTGGCAACTCTGTAACATTTTAGTATCACCAGTACGCATTATTTATTTTAAAATCAACTTAGAAAGCATATTTGTGGTTCTTTTTACCTCGGTAACACTTTTAGACAGTAACAAGCAATAATAAATCAAATTTTACGTGCTTTAAGTTTCCCGAAATTTTTCAACAAATAACAGCTGTTTGAAAATTCAACAGGAACCATTTTGGGTCGTTCCCTTAATTGCTGAAATTTTTTGTTGAATTTTCAACAATTCAGCAATTCAACAGTTTAGGGAATCCCCCTGGTATGATTTTTTCACAATTTATAGCTCAGCTCGTACATGATGTGCGAGAGCACTCCGCTGGCCGCCACATTGCTTAGGGCCACTTGAAAATCAAATTTTCCGCCAGATAAAGTGCGACCAGCTGAACCAATTAAAAAATACTAAAAACTTATACTACACTTTTTAGTATGTTCAAGTTAAGCAGAAAGCTTTTTGGTATATTTACTTAAGAAAATACAGCCTTACTGACCGCGTCTAAAAAAGAAATAAAAGTCTTGACCAAAAAATATTGAAAAATATCGCGTTCTGCCCAAGAGTCGTTCCATAGTTAGCCCACAACCAGATCCACATCGAAATGCCCAAGGAAGACGCGGAGCCGTCCACAGGTGGCGCTCCAGTGGCCGCCAAGCAGAGCGACGTGCCGCCCGCGGAAAATGCGAGCCACAAGGAAAGCGACGCCTCTGCCTCGGCCAGCGTCTCAGCCAGCGCGAGCAGCGCCTCGACCACGCCCCCGCCCGCCCAGGACGACGCCGAGGAGGCGGAACTTCTGGAGAGGATGCGTGGCGATGCAGTGGGCAGCACCATGTTCAGCAGTCGCTTCATCCTGCAGACGGTGATGAAGCTGGTGGAGCTGCAGCCGGAATCCCCTCTAGAACAGCAGCTGGAGGATGATCTGTGCAAGGTGTGGGACATGTCGGTCTCCCCCGAGGTGGTCACCCTGCTCCTCGAGAACGAGGCCATCGATCCCATCATGTACTCCCTGATGGCCGGCTGCGAGGATGTGCGCCTCTACGAGATTCTCATCGGCCTCCTGGGCAACATGTGCGCCCAGGTGGAGTGCGCCGAGCTGCTCACCTGCAGTCACAGCACCATGGAGACGCTCTTCAAGCTGACCAACTGCATGGACACCGCCATGCTTATTCAGCTGATGCGCCTCTTCCAGTACATCATGGCCCACGTCCTCAGCGGCAAGGAGCAGTTCGCCGTGGACTGGTACGTCTGCTTCGCGGCCTTCGAGAACTCGGCCAAGAATCTGGGCGGGATTCTGCAGCACTCGGTCAGCGATGAGCTGCTGATAGCCGCGCTGAAGGCCACCAATGCCGTGCTGGCCAGTTGTGCGCTGGTGGAGGAGGAGAATGCCAAGACCACTTTGAACCTCAAGCCCTTTGCGGAGGTCTTTCTGGTGCCCGAACTCTGCGATGGCGTCAATAGCGCCTTCCTGCGACTCATGCGCGATGATCAGGCGAAGCTTGCTGAGGAGGAGGAGAACGGAGAGGCGGGCGAAGTGCCCGCAGCAGTCGCCGCCCAGGACAGCGATGAAGATGCCGACGTGGGCTACGACTCGTGTGGGCCGAAGATAACCTGTGATGTGGAGATCATACAAACCTACCTCAACATTTGCACCATTCTGGTGCAGCTGCCCGAGGCGCAGGCCTCCATGGATGTGTATGCGCCCAGCATAGTCAGTTGTTTGGCGCGAATACTGCAGTTTCTGCAGCAGCCGCTGCAGCTCATTCCTTTAGGTGAACGCCAGGAGGAGTATCTGGAGGATCTGGCGCACATTTGGAGTGTAAGTTGAAGGATTACCCCTTAATTTCTTAAGATATAGATTAAATATTGATTCTTACAGCGCCTCAAGTACTTCTATCACAAGGAGGCCTTCTCAAACCTTCTGGAATTGTGGTACCGACTCAAGCAGCACATCGATAACTACACCGGCAGCGATCCAGAGACCAACGACTTCGAGGAGGACGAGGAGGAGGAGGAGGACGCTCCCAAGGAGCAGTACATTGAGAATGCCTTCAAGCTGCTGCGCCTGCTGGCCTGCATGGTGATAAAGGCGGAGAACTCGGATCTTCAGGAGATCGGCGACGAGAAGGTGCAACTTTTTGTGTCCGCTTTGAAAGCCGAAGAGGAAGATGCAATCTTCTCGAAGGCCCTCGAATGCCTGAGCGACAAGGTGGACAAGGAGTCGGGCCAAGCCTAGGGAATACATTTACCTCCATAAAAAGGAAAGACAAAAATGACTGAGATTGTAGCTTGCAGCACAATATATATCCGTAACTTAGTGAGTCTCTGTGTTTTTAGTTTAGGGTGATTCGGTGCCAATGGCCTGCAGCTTTTGGCGCATCATATCGCTCCAGGATTGCTGTCCTAAGCGGACGCGGCTGGTGCTGCTGACTTGGAGCCTATTTGTATTCGAATTGCTGAGCAGGAACTGGTTCTTCTCCTCGTTGAGAGCATGGGCTACGTGCTCGAGTTCGGTTTCTAATTTCACTTCAGAGGCTGTAACTTCTATATGGAGATCCTGCTCGATGGCTTGGGAAATGTGAATGATGGCCTCTTCTTTTAGGTTCTCCGCATCTATTTTGTTGTGGCCCACTAGTTCTGATAGCTGGATATTCAGGCTGCCGCCTTTGGTCATCACTTGCAGGTTGCCATGCACACCAGCTGGAATTATTACTTGGTATTAATACATTATTAGAGGTTTTTAAAGATTGTACCCACTCATATTAAGTTCTGCGGACTGGTGGACCTGAACTTTACTACTTTTGTGAACATTCTTGAGCTCCAGACGTCCAGTTTGCGTCTGAAAGCTGGAGTTCTCCACATAGCAACAGTCGGTAACTATACTGCCAGCCTTTGTGGAGCAATTTAGGTTGTCTCCTTGCAACTTGTCCATGGAAATGTTCTGTAAAAAGGATACATAAGTTAACAAGATATATAAGTTTTATAAGAAAAGCTTTCCTACCCCACTGTGTGTCTCTATATCGGTGATCTTGCCCAGCAAAGTGCCCTGGCAATTGATGTTCCCACTTTGGCTGAATAAGCTTATCTCAGTGGCCTTGACATTCTTGGTGAGGATGTTGCCCGCCGCCTTGACCTGCAGCAGCTCACTCTGGATGCCCTCCACCCGGACATTGCCCTTGGCCTCCACGGAGACGTCGGAACGCACGGGAATCTGCAGATTGCACTCGAACTGCGAGGGCTGCTCCGCCAGTTGCTTGATCACCACATTGACCACCTTGTCCTCGTCGGTTATCTTCACGTCCAGCGAGACATTGGAGTTCCTGACCTGGCCGCCCAGCAGCTGGGCTATGAAGACGTCGCCACTGGTGTACTGATGCACATCCGCCGGTTGGATGCGAAGGAATATATCGGATTTCACATTGATCCTGGCGAAGGGATTTACGTAATGCAGGATTTCCTGGTGCACCATGCGCTTGTTGGCCGTCATTGTGGGCCTCGACTTCTTTGCGTAGTGCCGCAGGTGGTTGTTTAATTGTGGCAACCACACGCGTTGCAGCAGCATCATAAAACCCAGAGAATCCCGAAAAAATCGAATTGTTTACTTTCAAAATCAGCTGTGGCACGGCACTGACCAACACTGCAATTTACCGTTCTTCCCAGCACTCAACCGTTATCGATTGCCCAACACTGCAGTCAGACATTTTCCAGTTGGAATTTTTCACTGTGCTGCGACGGTTGCAATTTTCTCGATACGCAGTTGAAAATTGCCTAATACTCAGCTTAAAAGCCCGAAAAAACAGCAACAAAATGTCCGGAAAAGATAGGCTACCGATTTTCCCGTCCCGTGGTGCCCAGATGTTGATGAAGGCCCGCCTGGCTGGGGCCCAAAAGGGTCACGGTCTGCTGAAAAAGAAGGCGGATGCCCTGCAGATGCGATTCCGCATGATTCTGGGCAAGATCATCGAGACCAAGACCCTGATGGGCGATGTTATGAAAGAGGCGGCCTTCTCGCTGGCCGAGGCCAAGTTCACGTCCGGCGACATCAACCAGGTGGTGCTGCAGAACGTGACCAAGGCCCAGATCAAGATCCGCACCAAGAAGGACAACGTGGCGGGAGTCACCCTGCCCGTTTTCGAGTCCTACACCGATGGCGCCGATACCTACGAGCTGGCTGGGTTGGCCCGTGGTGGCCAGCAGCTGGCCAAGTTGAAGAAGAACTACCAGAGCGCCGTCAAGCTGCTCGTGGAGCTGGCCTCGCTGCAGACCTCGTTCGTGACCCTCGACGAGGTGATCAAGATCACCAATCGTCGTGTCAATGCCATCGAGCACGTGATCATCCCCAGGATCGACAGGACACTGGCCTACATCATCTCGGAGCTGGATGAGCTGGAGCGCGAGGAGTTCTATCGGCTGAAGAAGATCCAGGACAAGAAGAGGGAGGCCCGGGTGAAGGCCGATGCCAAGAAGGCGGAGCTGCTGCAGCAGGGCATCGATGTGCGTCAACAGGCCAATATCCTGGACGAGGGCGATGACGATGTGCTGTTCTAAGTATTACCGCGGATGTGTAGATATTCCAGCAATATTATTGTTAAACTATTTTTCTGTTCTGTAACCGTTTCCATATAATTGTAATTGTAATATTCGCAAAGGGCAAGCCACAAAAATCTATGTAGCTAAATGTGTGTAGACTATTCCAATAAGCAGAAAAAAAAGTATGTATTCCATTTTTGTAGTGTAGTGTAAGCTGCGCCATCCATGCATTAAAGTCTTGTTGTTTCATACGAAAAGCGCATTGTGTTCTATGTGAATTGAGAAATGAGAAAAGGGAATTTTCATTTTCATTGCAAAAAGGGTCATCTGACTTGTTTTATACAACAGCAAAAGCAACAACAGCAATGACGCGGTCACATGACAGCAAACATATGTCTGATTGGAAACAGTGTTGGCTAGCGACGAAGTGGGTTTCGATCAGCTGTTTGCGTGGCTTTTTGTGTTGGCACGCTTTTTAGCTGAGGTTTATTGAATTTATTAACTTAACTATGACCAATTCCGAGTTCCAGGCGGTGGTTTTTGCCGCGGGGCGTGGCACACGCTTGCCCGAGGTCCTAGGGGATGCCCCCAAGTGCCTGCTGCCCGTGGGCCCGTATCCCCTCGTCTGGTATCCCCTGAATCTGCTGCAACAACACAACTTTTCAGGTAATTCTAGTGGTTAAAATAAAATCCTCATTATAATAATGAATTTACCCCATCCCAGAGGTAATTGTGGTGGTTCTGGAGCAGGAGAAGCTGGAGATCCAGTCGGCCCTGGAGAACACCCCTCTAAAACTCAAACTGGACTACGCCACCATTCCCAGCGATGGAGATTTTGGGACTGCGGATAGTCTGCGCTATATATACGACAAGATAAAGTCGGATTTCATCGTCCTCAGCTGCGATTTGGTCAGCAATGTCAGCCTGTATCCGCTGATCAACAAGTTCCGGGAACACGACGCCGCCCTGGCGCTGCTCCTCTTTCCCAGTGGTTTTGAGTCTGACGTGGTGATGCCGGGTCCCAAGAGCAAGCACAAGCCGGAAAGGGATGTGATTGGCATCCATGCGGCCACCCAGAGATTGGCCTTCGTCTCAGCGGCCAGCGATTGCGAGGAAACCTTGAATATCCATCGGCATTTGCTCAAGAACCGGGGAAGATTGGATGTCTACAGCCGCCTGGTGGACGCCCATGTCTATGTGCTGAAAAAGTGGGTCATCGATTATCTGAGGAGGGTAAGTAAAGTCGTTTCCTTTGGTTAATTCCGTCTCTAATATTGGTTATTTGCAGAAGGAGAACATTTCTACTTTTAAGGGAGAATTTCTGCCCCACTTGATCAAGAAACAGCACTCGAAAAAACCTTTAAAGGCGGTGCAGGATACCACCTCCGAGGTGGGCGTGGTCACCAAGAATGAGGATAATGTCCTACACGTTAGTATACCAAAAATCCTGGTGTTTATATAGTTTTTAACCCTTATAACTTCCGATTTTAGTACGTTCCCCATTCAATCCTCGACCAGAAGATCACGCAGACCTCTCTGTTCAACCAATCTCTGTCACAAGTTCCCTATCACGGCGACGTGGTGCGCTGCTATGGCATCCAGGCGCCCAAAGAGGCAATTGGGGTGCGGGTGAACAACACTCTCAGCTTCCTGGCCATCAATCGCAAGTTGGCGAGCATCTGGAACGAGCTGTGTGGCGAAAAACATCCACTAATCTCGCCCGGAGCCCTGGTAAAGTCCACCCAAACGAAGGAGATCATAGCGGCCGACAATGCCAAGTTGTCCGAGAAGACTTCACTGAACTACAGTGTCTTTGGACCCAATTGCGTAATCAACCCGAAGAACATTGTGGCCAACTCGCTCATCATGTCGAATGCCGTCGTGGAGGAGGGCTGCAACATCGACAACTGCATCATTGGCCACCGGGCGCAGGTGAAGAGCGGCTCGGTACTGAAGAACTGCATAATTGGGCCCAACTACGTGGTGGAGGAGGGCACCCACAGCCAGGCGGTGCACCTGTCCAACGCTGATCAGTTCATGGAGATAGACATACAGTGAGGAGCTAACTTAATGTGGCTTCCTTTATTAACGAATTGAGTTAGAAGGCGGATTCTTCTAGCAGGACATTAAATATTACAAATAGGTACACAAAACGAGAGAGAGCTTAGAGCTACTTAGAGAAGGGGGAATACATTGGATCCGAGGGAACGACAAGACTGTTTACTGCTCCTACTCCACCTCACTTCCTCCGCTCGTAGAGGTACTCATCCTCGTAATACCTCGGCGTTGTGGCAATGAACACCTGCGGCCGGCGCTGCTGCAGCGATATGTTGATCTCCTCGGGCGTGCGGAAGACCTGCTGCTGCTGATGTTGCTGTTGCTGTTGCAAGTGCTGCAGCTGCGGGGCGGCGGTGAAGAAGCGGTAAGGCGCCGGCGTCACGGTGGGCGCCAGCGTTTGTGGCCTTTGCTGATGGAGCTGCAACTGGGGCTGGTGGAGCTGATGCAACTGATGCAACTGGGGCTGCACTGTGGTCACGGGCAGTGGCTTCCGGTAGGCCAGGGTAGTCGGCTGGGGCTGCGGCTGGTGGCGGATCTGCGTCACCACTTGTGGTTGCGGCTGTTGCTGCGGCTGTTGGTACTGAACCCTCACTTGTTGCTGCTGCTGCTGTTGTGGCTGCTGGTAGGCCACCACCTGGCGATGTTGCTGCTGCTGCTGCTGCTGGTGGATGCGTGGCCTCGGGGCGGCGGCGGGCAGCTCCTCCTCCTCGTCATCGTAGCGCTCGTGTTCGTAATAGTTCTCCGGGAAGTAGCGCTCCGAGTAGCGCAGCGTGACATTCGGCTTGCTCTGATGCTCCTGCAGATTGATCGGCTTGTACAGGTAGTCGTTGACTATGTGGTACTTGGAGGACTGCTTGCAGATGTTGTCGTGCGACGGGGGCATGCAGATCAGGTGGATCTGGTGGAAGGTGAAGCCCTCGGGACAGATCCACGAGTGCTTCTGGCTCTCCTGGCAGTAGTGGAAGACCTCGCAGCTCAGCGATTCGTCGGCATAGTAACTAAGATATAGATTTTAATGATAAGAAATGGTAAAGAATCTTTTGTCAGAGTATTTACCCAGAGTTCCTGTCCGTGCAGCTGAAGGAGGACTTGCTGAGCAGGGTGGACAGACGATCGGGCTCCTCCACCTCCTCCTCCTCCTCCTCGCTCTCCTCGCTGAGGGGCTTCTTCAGCTGCTGTCCCTGGATCTTGAGGAAGTTGCTCTGCTGCTTGGCATTTCGGTTGGCGTACACCTGGCGCGGTGCCTCCTCCTGATCCTCCTCGCTGTATTCGTACAGTTGGCGCTGCTGCTGCTGTGGCTGCTGGCGGTAGGCCAGATGCGTCTGAGCCTGGGTCTCGAAGTCATCCAGCTCCTCCTGGCCGACGTCCAGCGACCGGGCCTCGAATCCCTTGGGCTTGGCAGTGGTGGCCGTGGCCGAGGGTGCTCCGGTGGCTGCTCCCTCCACCAGGGCATTAATGGCCACAGCCAGGACTAGCAGAATGGCCAACGGGATGCTGCAATGAAAGATATGGCCATGAGTCAGTCTGCTTTATGATATGGGAAACTCTGTGGCAACAAGACAATCAACCAGCAAAAAAAACGCGGGAAAATATTTCTGCGAACCTTTTCGCGAAGATGCCGCCAAATTGCCGCAGCCAAAGAAGGCAGCATCATCGGATCGTCATCGGCATCGGCAGCCCAGCGACCAGTTATGCAAGAGACCAGACCAGCCAGGCCAGAAAACTTGTTATAAGGCAACACGGCACGCCAAGTCCCCCAAGATCGAAACGGGCCACGGAGTTCGCTGCTTGGAGGAGATGCAACTGCGGCCGGGAAGGGAAGGCAGGGAAAGCTGGGCTCTGGGAATCACTGATCATGGCATACGCTCTTGATGACCCAAGAAACCACAAACCAAAAGCAGAAGATTTTAACACTTTGGGGAACACTAATCTTAATTTGAGTAGCTTGAATTTAAGTAGAATGTGCAATAAAAAGATGACTTAAATTTCGATTTGATCTCAATTGTAAAATTAAATATTTTGTAGATTTTAAATATCTTGGAAGTAAAATTGAAATGAGCAATAGATGACTTTAATTTTGATTTAAAATCTTTATTAAATCATTCCTTAATAACAAATCTATTAAACATTGTAATTTTAAATATTTTGTTAGTATCATGGTATTTTTTAAATATCTTGGAAGTAAAATTGAAATATTTTGTGTTATTTTAAAAAGATTCTACAAAATACAAATGAGCAATAGATGACTTTAATTTTGATTTGAAACCTAAATTAAAACAATTCTTGATAAGAAACCACTTAAACATTGTAAATTTAAATATTTTTTTGATGTCATGGTATATTTTAAATATCTTGGAAGTAAATTTAAAATATTTTGTGTTGTATTAAAAAGATTCTACAAAATATTCAAGAATGAGCAAAGTAATACCAACGTAATCTATGTTATATAAGATAAGTGCTGATATTTACCTAGAGAAAAAAGATCAAATATTTTTTGGGATCACCTTTTATATCATCTATAAAAGATTTCTCTATATAATATCGACTTGTGCCATTTCCGATGGCACCTTTAAAGTTTCTATAAAGGTTCCCTGCACTGTTTTCTACCCCCTGCTTTGGCACCCGGATCCCATAGCTCATATACCCCACCATTAGTCGGCATGATGAAGATGCTCAGCCTGCGGCGGGTTCAATTTGAACGCCATTTACCCGAGACCCGAACGCTGACTCGACTTGGCTGAATGTCAACTGCTGTTCGTACGCATAATACATATCTATATCTATATATCTACCCCTGCACTTTGAGGGGGAGGAGGGGAATTCCTGGCCTGGAATGGCTGGCCAGTCCAATTAACCAATGTTACGTGCCTGCATCTAATTGGGGCCATAACGTCAAAGCCCGAGTAAGAGTAAGTAGTCGCAAATAGTTGGGCAAGGTGAAATATGCTTTGAGTAGTGGTAATAAAAGCAAAAGTCCGAGCAACCGGACTTTTACTTTTCACGCCAATCCGAGTGCGAATGACTTTGAACCCGAGTGGGATTCCGTCCATTCCATCCGTTGATTTGGACCAGGCCAGGCCAATAAATCTGGAGAGCGTCTTATGCAAGTATCGAGTATTTTCCAGCTGGCAATTTGTCAGCCTGTCGCTCGGCAGCTGCAAGTTGCAAGTTGCTAGTTGCACCTTTGAACTTTAAGAGCTAAGAGCTAAATGAGTGCCACTGTTGCCTGTTGCATTGTCACTGTCAGCGAACCTTTTGCGCAAGCTCCATGGGAATCCGGGGGAATCTGCCCCCAGGAATCCCACATCATCATCTCTAACTCCATCCCAATTCCAATCCGAATCCCACCTGCAACACATGCAAATAGCTGGGCACATTCCTCGAGCATCTGGAGTGCTCCACTTCGCCACTTGCACCACTTTCGCAGTCGCAATAGCCAGTCTGTCTGCCATAAATGGGGAATTGGTTGCATGTCTCGGGATCTGTCTCTGCTTTTGGTCCAGATGCAGACGTTATCGCACTGCAGTTACATCATGCATATGGCACACAGCATATAGCATATAGCATAGAGCATATAGCATGGAGCTCTAGCCATGGAGGCGATGCGTTGATGTTGATGGTTTTCGTCGGCCGAGATCCCCAAACCCCTAGACCCCTGCCACTTCTGGAAACCACAAGACAGGCACAGCCGTCGGTTTCGTTATACATTCAACTTGCTTGGTTTTCACCGCCGGGTTTTCTTGCGTATGTGGAACTCGGACTATATTTGCTTTTGATTTCCTTAAATGTTGGGTGTGCGTCATGTTAGGCGGGCATTTTTGGGGTGACATAAGCGCCGGTCTAGGATTACGACATTCGGGCCAGGCAGCACCTGCATTTTGATAAGTGTGCTGGTTTCTTGTAAATTGTATAACTCAATGGGCATTTTCCTTTGGGAGCAAACAGAGAACTAAGAGCTTAGCCCGGTCCACTTAGCGTTACAATCGCTGCCCGCTGTTTTCCATCCATTTCAATTTCCATTGCCATTTCCATTTCCATTTCTCGGCTCTTTAGCGTGTAATCTGTTCGAGTTCGTTGCCTAAGTCTTTTGTTTTCACTCGCCGTACTTTATTCGAGTGCTTAATTAAACACCAGCTCGTTAACACATCTCCCGATGCCATTAAACTGTGTGAAACATGAAAGCCCAAAAATAAACTGCTTTAATTTCGTTTTTTTCTTATTTTTTTCTTCACTTTTATCCACATTTATTTCAGTTTTGTGTAACAAATTAAGCACTGTTAATGTGCGTGCAGTTAGGGCGGTTGTTATATTTTTTTTCTTTTTCGTTTTTTATGTGCTGGAAATTTACGTTTGCCTGATTTCGGGCCTCCAAAATTGCTTGGCAATGGATTTTATGTTCCACCGTTTTTCTCTTTTTTATGCCAGTGGTAATTTTCACAAATCACAAATCGGTGACCTTCACTTGGGGCTGCCAGAAGTGGGTGTGTTTTTTTGTTTGCTTGCCTCGATGACGGGCCAAAAAGTGAAAGAAATCAATTCGATGGCAATTTATTAATTGCGCACACCCCACCCCCAAAACAAAAAAAAATAGACACCCCATCAAAAGTGACCAAAAAATCGAAAGCAACTAAGTACAACCGGGGGCGGTGGCGGCGGTGGGCGTGGCTGGCAGCACGCTTGGGCAATTGCGCATTTCTGTGCGTCGCTGTAATTCCAAACGATGGAATATTGCGTATACGCCACATGCGTCGCAGTGCGTGCATTTGATACATTTTGCCGCTCATATTCGCAGTCACTTCTTATATAATGGGCCCAAAGACATGAGTAATCCACACGACTTGGCTTTTAGAAAGGACCAGCTCTTTGTGATGCAATCTGTCACGGAGATTGGATCTCCCCATGTCCAGCAGGCGTGACCGTTCCGTATCCTAATCGATTGATCTAGTCTCGGACATTCGATTGGCACAAAGCAAACATAAATTAAAGCCATAAGATCAAGAGATTGGGTAATCTACACAGGGAACGAAGTATCTTAATTTACGATATATTGTAAGGTATATTTTCAAGAAAAATACGAAAATAATGTGGAAGTGAGTTCCCCAGAATATTCTTGAACTTTGTGAATCAATAAAAAGTAATAAAATTAAAGTCCAGTTAAACTCACGAGATTCTAAGATTTTGGAAGGGATTTTAAAAGCAACATTTTACTAAATCTCTGGACTTAGGGGTAATATTATTATTTAGTTTTAGGTGTAGTTTAATTACGATCTTAGAACAAAGTTTTGAACATGGTATACATTTATTTTTAATAGGATCCAAATAAATCCTCACTATTTTTCTACATTTTTGCCTTTTAATTTTTTTTCTATGTAACAACTCATATAAATAAGTACAAGTATCCCCCTGGGTTTAAGGCAGCTGCCTCAATGAACTGTCGGCAAACAAAAGCGAAAACTCCCACGCCAAAAACACACACAGACAGAAAACGAACAGAAAAGATATAGAAGGAAAAGTCAGACCGACTATGAGTACGTCTTTGGGTTTGGTTTGGTGTTTGGTTTTCTGTCTCTGTTACGTATGTCGCGCTGCTGGGTTTTGAAATCGCCCAAAAGAATATTTCGTGGTTGCCAAGTGGCCAAGTGGCCCAGAAAATTGGGCCGAGAGAACCCCGGAGACCGAGACAATACCGAGAAATACCGAAAATGTTAATTAACGGTTGCAGGCGACTGCAGCACGAATTTGTGGCCGCGAGGCGGGCCAAGTCCAGGTTCAGACTGAGATCCAGGTTAGGACCATGATTCATAGTTCCAGGAGGTTTGAGAACTTACTGCATTCTGGGACGATCGCTTGGTATCGGTATCCAAATAATCCAAATAGTTTTGGCTCCGGATCACACACTGCACTCACTGGGGGTTCGAGTTCAATTCACTTTATAAGTCGAGTGTTTGTCTCTTGGTTTTCTATTTATCACTGGGTTGCACTGGGCAGCTCGGCTCTTCTTCTAGCTGCTGCTGCTGCTAACGGTTCACTCGTCTGGCTCGAACAACTAAATGAATGACTTTCTTTGGCTTGTTTATGTTTTATACCAAAAAGTACCCCATTGCCGAAGCCGCCCATTGAGAGGATAGGATTGGCCGAGAGAACAGTCTCAGAGTCTCGGGGCTTCTCTCTCTCTCAGGTGGCTCTCCGTTTCTCCGTTTCTCTTTCTCAGCTCAGGTCTCAAAACTCAGCTGAAAAGACTCGGCACGTTGAGTGGAGTTTTCCTCATTGCCTTCAAGTTCGTTCCCCAAGTCTTTTGATTTGCACCACAAGAAAAATTATTTTCTAAACTGACAAGGGATTAATTTGTATACAAAAAATAATAAATAATAAAAATTACTTTTCTTAAATATTAAAATAAAAATATTTATAAATATAAATATATAAATAACTATATTATAGGATAGATTTCTTGGGATTTTTTAAAAAAAAAGTATGGATAATTTTCCCTTTAATTATTTAATTTTTCTGCCTTCTAACAAGGTTATTGATTTTTTTGAAGATTAAAAATTGTTAAATTTTAAGAATTTTTATATTTATTTATATATCCCAGATAAACGAGAGCTTTTCTAACAAAGAGCATTAGTGTTTTAATTTGTTGTTGCTTTATTGATTTAAAACATTTGCGAATTTATCCGAGGAAAATCTTTACTGTGTCCGCTAACAGGGACTTGGTTTTAGGCTTGCCCATTAGTCATAAACCAATTGATATTACTCATGCGGACCAATATATATCTCCCGCGAGATCTGTAACTGTTTGGGGTTTCGAAAATGCCTTCCACACATTTGCATCCATCAGATATGTAAGCCTAAGTGGCCGTCGAAGCGGCCAGATAGAAGCTGCTCAGATATAGTGTAATTAACATTTTCGCTGTTGATTTTCTCAGCCTTCGCTGCGCATTTTGCATGTTTGCTATTTTCAATACAAGTTGCAGCAGTGGCAGATAAAACAACAAAAAAAAAGAAATAAAAATCATTTGCGCCGGTTTCTTCAACGAGGCTGCGACTTCTACTGAGATGCTCCCACAACGAACTTCAGACCGCAGAAACAACAAAACCTGTGCGGCAACTCATCCCAACTCATCTCGTCTCGTCTCATCTGATCCGATCGGATCCGCCGAATGAAATGCTAAAAGCTGCTCACCGACACACTCGGCCAACACATACTATATGTCTGCATTTGTTTGGCTAATATGAATTAATTTACAATACTGAAAAACGCCTACAAGAGAGGGGGAAGGGGGGTTTCTTACCAACGCCTCCGACTGTTGAACTTTTGCGTTTCTGTGCCGCACTTGTAAGTGCATCTGCATTTGAATCTCTATCTCCATCTCCGCTGCATCTGTATCTCTTCAAGCATTTCAATTGCTCGCCGTTCAATGTCTGGACACTGACCGCTTGCATATAGCCGCAGATATCTATATAGATAGATATATAAACGATTTGGCAATATGCATGCAAAGAAGCGTAACGCAAAGAAAGTGCAGCAGCAGCTTGTTGTTATGATTGCCGCCGCTCGAATAAAAATACGAGAAAAAACAGCAAGTGTTTGAAGCCTGCGATTTTCAACCAGGTGATATAACAAGTTCACATAATTTGCTGGCTTTTCTTTTCGTTTTTTATTTTTTCTCCATCCATTCCACATTACATTTTTTAGCACTAGCAATAATGCACACAAGGCGAACAAACAAATTCAGCAAACCTGCAAACAGCTTCACGATTCGAGGGATAATTACAGGTGGCGGCTAATCAAAATTATTCCCAGGCGGGTGCCTCAATTATAAGGCATAATTAATAAATGTTTTGCCGGATTAGTCAGCGCATAAGGGAAAAACAAGGTGCACATAGAGAAATATCGATTTCAAAGGCACAAACAATATTGATTATTAATGATGATTGATTGGTTTTTATGCTATTTTTGTCATTATTAAATTGAGATTTTTAAAAATAATATTTTTAGCCCTTACGACTTAATAATATAATTTAATTTTAATTTTAAAATATTGATTAATTGTTATCCCATTAAGTTTGGATTGGTTTTATAAAGTTTTTTATGTCGTTTTTGGTGAAAATGCCGAAAAAGCACCTGTAACTGCAATGTCGCTGACTCCCAGCTACGATTGTCCCCTAATAACACGGGTAAAAAATTCATTACACGAACTAACTGGCTAACTGGCAAACTGGCCAACTGCTGGCCATTATGCAAAGTCCAAGTCCAATCCGAGCCATTCCATTCCATGCCAAAGCCATTCCAAAGCGGCACGTTTCGAGGAAGTTGATTGTCACAAAGCCTCTCATAATCATAACTGTGTTTGCTGTGCCCCATCAGCAACTGCAACAACAATGGTTTGTATGGCAGTAACAGCGTAGTAACAACAACCACGACGGTCAGGTTCAATGGGGGAAATTATAGACATTGCAGACGAAATAAAACTGGAAAAAACAAATTTTAAAACACAAATCAGACTTCGTCAGGTTGAGAGCCACTAACATTTTGAGCAGCAATGTAAGAAATAGCCAAAAATAAAAAATTTAAATATTTAAGAGCTGTTTAAAATCTTTCTTTAATTTTACTTTGCTTTCCTTTAGTTTTATTGCAACTCCTAAATTTTCCGGAACTCTTATAGTTTTTCAGTGCAGCGCTTTTACTGCTGCATTTGACCAGAATTCACCAGTTGAAAAGTTTGCAGCGGACTTTGCCACCAAAAAATAAAAATAAAAAAAGAAAAGACAATAAAATTGTGGAGAAATATATTTTGCATGTTGGACACATGGTCCACTCTTTTCTTTATTAACTAATTAGCCCTAATGCTTAATGCTCCACATATTTTCCAACTGAAATGCGAGTGCGTAAGTTTAAGTTATGTCACTCGGCTTGGTTGCCGGCTTGTCTTGCCAATCTTGAGATCTCTCAATACGATGGGATTTCTCAAGAATTGCGATGTTGCGATGTATCTTGATGGAAAAAGCGAAAGTAAGTTGGGGCTCTGAAAACGCGGATTCATTAGCGTTCTAATAGACACGTCACTCGAGAAGTTCAAGGTCGCTCCGAAAGAGTGGCGAATTGAAATTAATTACATCGAGCGCGCCTCGAAGTTCTCTGGGCGTTGTTTGAGCACTCCATTAATGACTTGGGGCTGGGATCTGTTTTAGATTAGCAGTTCGTTTAATTCACAAACGAATAAATTGAGTAATTTGGCTCAGACAATTCGAGAGGGTTTTTAGGCTTCATATAACTAGGCATTGGATAATTTGAAAAATGGTTTTATATATATTTCATTGCTAGAAAGCTTTGATTGGATACTCTTTTAAAAAAAATCAAAATGGTATAGGAAATAAATATAATTATGAATTTGGGGAAAATTTTATTTTTGATCAAAGTTATCGTAAATTGTAAATATAAAATGAATATAATTCCTACTTTAATAAAACAAGATAGCATTATTATAGTTTTAGATATTAATTTGTAACAATCCACGTTAAAAACTTCCTTAATTTCTATAAAATTTTCACTTTTTGATTAATTTGAAAACTTCTTAAAGAGTACCTAACCTTCGACTTATCTTTGAACTTTGAAATCTATTCCTCTTGGGACTTTTGGGAGTTAATTGGCTCACATTAGCCCCGTGCTTAAAGTTATTTAATAGATGATTTAAGACCCAACACAACTGACATCACCCACCAGCATCCACTGGCAATCCCACACACCCACAATTAGCGGGCAGTGGGCTTCAAAAACCGTTGGGATTAATTCACCGCACATTCACAGCGTCATAAAAGTTATAACCATCGTTTACGCCAAGTCAACAATGGCCAAGTATTAGACCATAAAGCCAAACTGCAAAGCCGGAACTTGTCCGCCAGATGATTTGTAAGTTTTTCGGCTGGATTGTTAGTTGATTGTTTTTCGGGGCTATCAAGATCAGATCGGATCAGATCGGTGGAAGTTACGTGTTAATACCAAAAGTCGTTGCATTTTCCGTTTTTTTTCGTGGCGGAAGTGACTGTGAACTTGACATTGAGGGGGCGTGCCCCCAAGCCAAAGAAATGCAAATTTCTGCCCGTTCTCACAGTTCACGAAATATAAAGAGTGATTTCAGAGCGGAAGGAAGTGGAAATCGCCATCTGAACATTACGTTTAACTACAAACAGCTTATAGAACCTTGATCAACTTTAAATGTTTTGTTATTATTTAATTAGTAAAAAAAAATATAAGTATTTAGATAGATAATATCATCATTATTTCTTTTAAAAACTTTGATAGAAGACAAACTCCCACAAGATAAATAAATGTATATGAAAATATTTAAATTAAGTGAGGTATCAGTACTATTTTTAGAACCTCACATAATAATGCCAATTTCTTATCAAAACACTTAGAATTCAAGTCCAAGTGGTTTAGAAAATCCAAGTTTATGAATAAGTATATCAAATAAACCCTAATATAAAATTCGAAATAAACATGTTTGGTTTTTCGAGTGTCCAAGCTGATGCGTAATTCAATTGAAATCAATTGCAATGGGTCTGCTAACAAATTACCAATCCACGCCAACCTCAAACATCAAGTGGCAACAAAGAAAAATGGAAATGGGCAAGATAAAAAACCCAACGGCCGAGCCAAATCCGCTTTTGTCCAATTGTTGCGCACTTGAAGCATGAAGCGTGCCCATGGAGCAGGCATGGAGCACCTGATGGACTGGCTGACTGGATGGATGAGCTCCTCCGACACGGACAGACCGACCAATTGGGCATGGCTGGCTGCAT